ATGGAAGGAAAGTAGAATGGGTTTGGGGGAGTGCTAGCAAGCTGTCCTTGGGGCCTCCTCATGACACCCGTATTCTTTCTGAAGATGGATTAGGTTATACGTTTTTAAGCAATGAAACATAAAATGTACAAAAGAGCACAAAAAGTAATTAGAATGTACCACTGATCTTTTGTTAGTGAGACTCTATCAACTGTTTTCCTTTTTTAAGAGCTCAAGGTTGAACTAATGAGCCTGTTTTGACGAGTGGCACTGCCATGACCTTGAGTGTGACATGTTTGTCTATTGAGAGAAGGCATTTTTTTTTTCATGTCCTCTATAAAGGCTCTGTCAGCACTTTGCAGCTTTAGAAGACAAATTTGTTTTGGCTCCAAGTGTTTTCAGGTACTTCAGTCAGTGGTCAAACAGGTTTTGAATCTAGCTTTCAATGCCAACAGAGAGGGGGGAAAAAGAATTACAAATAATTCCATAGCTAGCTTTATCAAAAGTATTTGTTCTTTTAGATTTAAAGGTTATATTTATAATAAAGGAGGGCGGTTTTTAAAATTTAGTTCAGGTTTGTCATAGTGATTCTATATCTTGAAAATCACTGACATACATGAGTCAGAATTTTATAGATTACAAACTAGGCTTCATCTAGCTAAATTACAATACAAGAAGGGACCCAGACCTTTCTTTTACTAAATTATCTTTAAAGTCATAATCTAGCCTTTGCTATTTAAAAAAGAATTACCTTTAAAAGATCCTAAACATAGGATAATTAACAGTGAGTGAAATTGATCATTGCTGTAAGAATTCTATAAATTTAACCTTTACTAATGCAAACATTAATGGACTGGTCTTTTACTATCGCTAGAGATGTGTTTGGGACATAAAACTATTTAAAACCTTCAAAAGGCACTGAGTAAATATTTTCTGATAGGACAAGTACTGTTAGCAACTTCAGCACGTGTGAAAGTCTGGTAGCAGACTGCTCATACCGTGGAAGTGATCTGACTTGTATGATTTTTTCCTTCCTCTTTCTCAAGAGGAATCGCTGATCTATTTCTTTCTTAGTCTTTCCTCCCTAAACCCTAGACAAAGGATGGAAATTCAAGTTTATAAAAACATTTTGTGCGCTGGGAAAATGGGTAGTTTTGTTAATGTACTGCTAACTCTTTACTTCCCTTGTTAGTTTCGTTCTAAAACCCCAAAAATCTGGAGTACTTGCCAGGCATAACAAATTCTTTAGATGTTCCCTGTTTGCACAAAGTATAGGTGCAACCAACAACCTTAGCAAAGGAACACCGTGTGCTTGCATGCTGTTTTAGTAATAACAAACCCATGCATATTCAGAAGTCTCAGATTTGTGGGGAAGCAACACGGCCTCAGCAACCAGGGAGAACATTAGAGAGGAATAGTGAACAATATTGAAAGTCATCCTTTGCGAATTACATCTGTGAAAATGCAGATCCCTGGAGAGTTGCTCTTTTTTTTTTCAAGAGAGAGTTTTTAACATCTGGATCAAGCATTAACAGAGCAGGGGAGAGTGCTGAAGAAGTTAATACTGTTACACTCCTGGAGATCGCTGACCTTTTTCTCATCTACAAATGTTTTCGTAAAGCTTTCCGTTATGAAACAACTTTGGTCTATAATTGTCAAAATGTGTATCAACTATATTTTGGTTCTTTCTGTTTAGAAAGAGGCTAGGGATGTAGCTCAGTGGTACCCTACCTGCCTTGCAAGTATGAGGGCCTGGGTTTGATTCCCAGTACTGCAAAAACAAGTAAACAAAAAACCCCAATCTTCTAAATCTTGTATGTCTCGCAACTTATATAATGCTATTATATAAAACGTTCTATCCTTTTTCCTTCTGAATGTTTCCTAATTTATATCTGAAAATGTTTATTTCTCCTGAAATACTCTTAGGTATAATTTTAAATGCATCATTTCATTGACACTGTTTTGAAATGATACGAAGGTGGAGGACTGTGCTTTTCCTAGGAATTCCTGATTCTGAGCTTTAGGAAAACCTAATACTATTACACTAGATCTTACTTGAAAGATTTTGATAATCTATTAAAGATTATGAGTGAGAACAATGATTCTTTGTCATGGACCTATCCCTCTTATCAGGAAGGTCACATTCAGGTGATAAAAACCATTATGATTTGGTTTAATGGAACACATTTTATAGTGGCCTCTTCTAATTCAAACTTTAAAGGTATATCTATAATTTTAGGTATATCCATCCTAAAATTCTCTGTGTTAATTATCTATATGAGTTAATTGATACTCAATATTGTAACAGCAGATATAAAATATATTTCCAATTTTGGGGACAAGGTCTTGACTATGGACAAATAGCAAAATGTTTTCATAGTTTTACAGAACTAATATTCACTAAATGAAGCAGACATTATTCCAGTACTTTACGTGTACTTTTGTTTAATCCTCATTACAGCTCTGAATTAAGCAGCATCCCCATCTCCATTTTTCAGACAAGGAAACTGAGGCTCAGATAGATTTGGCCAGTTGACAGCTAGAATTCAAATCCTAACATTCTGATCCAAGAGCTTTCATCTTAACTATTGCATATATGTTTGCCCCTTTGTTTCCTTTCTTTAGTGGAGCCCAAAGTGTCAACCTGAGAATTCTAGGCAAGTAAACCAAACCACCATAAATGGAAAGCAACTCACATCCTAACTTTCTACTCTGTATTTATGTTATGGAGAGCCTTATACATCCCATTTCATGGGATTATTGTGGCCCTTAATCAAATTTGCTTTTTATTCAAAGGGTTTTGTGTCACGGTTGCTTATTAATATGTAGATGAGCACATGTTATTTCAAAATAGTGCTTTTCATTTATTTTCATGACACAAGATAAGTGGGATCTGCCTAGTACCCCTTTGACACAGATGTGAATCAGCAAATTCGAAAAAATTCAGGCCCAAGTTTTCAATAGTTACGCTTTTGAATCTACTGAATTTATAGATTAGCAAATAAGAGCACATTTAATCTTCCTTCATGGGAATGACTTATTCTATGCTCAATTCCATGAATTGTTTGTAGAAGCATTGACAATTGCTTCATTTTTTTTTGAGACAGGGAGACCCTGTCTCAAAAAAAAAAAAAGAGAGAAAGCATTAACCATATCCATATTTGCAGCTAGTCAAAAAGCCAAAAAGCCTTACAAATGTACCTCCTGATAAGCATTAAGCCTACCTACTCAACTTGAAAAAATTGTGTTTTGTCCTCTTTAGCTAATATGAAAGATGACATTAAATATTGTAGAAAACTAAGGTTCTTACCTGAACTCCATTGCTTTGCATGGGTGTTTTCCAGCTCAGGCCTAAGCTGTATATTACCTGAGATCATACTGGCAATATATTCCACAAGGGAGGCAAACGAGCAGCGAGTGCTACATCAACTTCTGATTAGGTCACCATTAGATTCCTGAATTCCAGTTCTAAGCTACTCTGGTTTTCTGGAAATCTGAGTTTTGCTGTGCTTAGTATAAACAATGGATCATACCTAACAAAGACATTACAAGGAGTAGTGACAATTTCTATGATGCTATCAGGTATCTTTATTAAATGGGATGCTAAAATTCAATATAATTTTATGCAAGCAGAACATGGCACACTATCATACTTTTACTCATTTTAACAAAGAGAAATGTGAGGATTATAATTCATTTATATTTGCATATTATCTAATTGTTCTATTTTAAATAAAAGGGTATCTTTGACTGCATAGTTCTTTTCTTATTATTATTATTATTGTACCGGGGGGCCATTGTGACATTTACAAAATTTCTTACAATTTATCATGGGTGAATTCATCCCTTCCATCATCCTCCTTTATCTCCCCTCCCCCCATTCCTAGAATAATTTCAGCAGATCTCATTTTTCCATTTACATGCATACATACAGAGTATTTCTGCCATATTCGCCCTCTTACAGCTTTTCTTTATATCCTCCACCCTCCCACCGGTGCCCACCTCCCAGACAGGACCTGTTTCACCCTCCTGTTCTCTAGTTTTGTAAAAATAAAAATGGCATTTTTGTTTATTTAAGAGAGCTATGCAAGGTGTTTCATTTTGACAGTTCCATGCATGTATGTGTTATAACATGAATTGGTTCATCCCCTCTATTTTTCTCTTTTTTGCCATAGTCCCATCTTAGGATGATTTCAACAGCTTTAAAAATTCTATGTTCATTCTTATATAGGAAGTACATCAACCATGTTCACCTTAACTTCTTTGTTTTACTGTCCCTCTCTCATCTGTGATCTCCCCTTAGCATGACCTGTTTTTCATAATATTGCTGTATTTATTCAGTCTGTATTCTACATATGAGAGAAAACAAGTGACCTTTGATTTTCTGAGCCTGGCTAACATCACTTAAGATGATGTTCTCTACTTCCATCCATTTTCCTGCAAATGACAAAATTTCATTCTTCTTTATGGCTGAATAAAATTCTATTATATATGAATTACCAAATTTCTCTTTTCTTTTTGTTTTTGCTTTTTTTGCGGTGCTGAGGTTTGAACTCAGAGCCTTCTACCTTGAGCCACTCCACACAGTCCTGTTTTTGTGATTTTTTTTTTTTTTTTGAGATAGGGTTTCGAAAACTATTTGTCTGGTCTGACTTTGAACCGCGATCCTCCTGATCTCTGCCTCCTGAGTAGCTAGGATTACAGGCATGAGCCACCAGCACCCAGCTAAATACCAAATTTCTTAATCCATTCATCATCTCATACCTCTTGGTGGGAATGTAAATTATTACAGCCACTATGGAAAACAGTATGGAGGCTCCTCAAAAAACTAAAAATAGAACTGCCATATGATCCAGCATTTCCACTCCTGGGGATATCTCCAAAGGAATGTAAGTGAGGTTATAATAGAGGCACCTGCACAGCCATGTTTATTGCAGCACTATTAACAATAGCCAAGCTATGGTAACAGCCAGGTTGCGTATTTCTTATCGTGCCTATTGGCAACAATTGTTCTCTTACAGAATATGGAAAGTCTCAGCCCCACACAGTTGCCTGAACCACCTGCACCCGATGACCTTGAACTTCTGTCTGATGAAAGGTATCTTTAGATCCTCTTCTCATGTTGTTTTCAAGGGTATGAAAAGATTTTTTTCATTTAATACAGTAAGAGTTTAAGAACTAAAAATAATAGAATTATATGTTGATCAACAATATATTACTGCAAGGAAATGCTTGAAATAGAAAAATCTATTGCAGTGCTATTAAATACACATAACCATACTCATGTTTGGGCCTTTAGTGTTTGTTTTTTTTTTTATTTCTGTTTTGATTTTTAATTTTATAAGAATTTTGTTTGGAGCTACTCAGTACACTCTTAAATAAATAATTGAAATCCTAATATGAATGGATGGAAGGTTTTTTCTTAAGACAGACGGACAGGTTATATTTCATTCTTATTGTTTATAGCAAAGACGACGAAAGAGACAGCAGAGACACCCAGCAGTGTGTGGTGAGTAGCTAACAAGGAGACCACAGCCTTGGGGCTCTTCCTACTTCCTGAGTGTGCGTGTGGAATGTGACGAGCAGCCAGTAAGGGGCAGTGAGGTAAATGACAGGACCGCAAATACCAAGACTTACAGGGCCTTTGAGAAATTTGCTTTATAAGTTAATGTATTTGCTCGTGAAGATACACTGTAATACCATGGGGATTTCTCTTTAGATCTTGATAACATGAAACAAAATGAAAGCCAAAGCGACTGGTTTAATTTTTGTCCATAGTTTGAGGCATTTTTAAATGATTGAAATATATAGCAAGTGACTTTTAATGGGTCTTTCACAATCTTATTAGTTTTCAAATTAACATAAATTCAGTTGAATCTACTTAATCCAATTAATTTTCTGAGTTTTACATCTCTGTATAAGTAAACAGTGGAGAAAAAAGATCTCTTGAATCTGACGTCTGTACTTCCAAGTTCCATTTACTTCCCTGGCTTCCTCCTTGTCCTCTTGGCATCACTACACTGACCCAAGAACTTCCTTTCCCTGGCACCCAATGCCAGTTCTCTTTTAGTGTGTGAGCCTCCTGTTGATTCATTTATGCTCATTTAATAATGCATGTTTGATCTAGTACTTCCAAATGTGTCCAAACTCCAGCTTCAGTCTTGCCAGGTTTACTTTGGGCAAGAATTAAAGCTTTTCTCAACCTGCTCTTCAGTTTTGACTCTTGATATGATAACAATATAAAGAACTGTCTCTCTGACTGAATGATTGTGAATTTGTTGGACACTGACCTGATTCACTGATGTATTCACTCAACAACCCAGGTTAAAGTTCTAGAAGATTAAGAATCTGAAAGCTGGGGTTGTAGCTTAGTGGTAGAGCACTTGCCTTGCATGCATGAAGCCCTGGGTTCAATCTCCAGCACTCTCCCTAAACAAGGATTTGAAAGCTGGGGCCCTCCGCCTTAGAAAGTTGCACACTCACATATAATTGCTGGGAATTAATGGCCACACACACGTGCACGATGCTGCAGCTTCGTTGCACTTGCTCTATTTAGTTCTTGTCATGTGCACGTTACTAGGCTAGACAGTATACAAAGACTAGAAGGGAATGGAATGCTTCCTCTTTCTGACTTCACAGTTTCTGAAGCAATTCTTTCATCTCTTATTTCTACCTCTTCTATGCTTCCTTCCCTGGGACCCAGGTGACAAGCTGACATGCTTCCCTTGTCTCTAGGAACCTTTTTTAGACCATGTTTCCTCATGAGAGTTTTTATTTTTTCAAGTTTCATCTTTTCTCTGCCATCTTCCTTTGCTCATAGCAGGTACCTACTTATCGTGCCACTGAACATTATTTTAAAGAAAGTTGCTTTGCCTCCTGGAGAGGTCTCCTTGGTTCTTTCCTTTTATGCCTGTTATCCTTTATGAGATAAAAGGGACTAGAACAACCTCTGTGAATGGACTTCATGGCAATAACTCATAAATTCCAACTGGCACCCAAGCTAAATTCATGCTGGACCCAGCTTGCCTTCATCTTTTTGTGGACTGTTTCCGAGTCATAGGAAAAGAATCTCAAATCCTTCTTTCATGTGCCAGTTCCTATTCTGACAAGTGCCACCCATGTTCACCTACCAATCAGCATTCAGCTCCCAGGTGGCACTCCTTAAGCTTTCACTATTAATAACCATCATCGTCATAACTGTTTCCATTAGAGATCAAAATTAGGTGATGAGTTAAAATCTAGACTGAGCACTCAGAAAAAAACAAAAACATCACTCCACAATCTTGGGATTACTTCTATCCTGAGGCCTGTGTTTCTTGCATGGAATACATTTTATTGTTATTCAGGAAAGACCGTGAAAAGATCTGTATCCCACTTTTAAAGCTCGTTGTCTTCAGTGCATTGTAACTTCTTTTTAATATATGTAGCACTTCTTAAACTGTCTTATTCCACCAAATAGTAATCTGGTTTCCTAGTAAAGCAATAATAATCCCTCAGTTTCAGAGATGGAGGGAAAAAAAAGTCTAGATTTTGGTTACCCTTCCAGGAATTCTGTTTAACTAGTATTTATTTTGTTTCAAGTCTACTATAGCACTAATTGAGGGTTTTTTCTTTAACTCACCACCTAGTTTTATCCTCTAACTGAAATGGTCATGATGACAACGGTTATTAATAGTGATTGCCTAAAGAAAGCCCACTGTGAGCATTTCTGTGCCCACGTGAATGGGTACAATAATTTTTTCAGTTTCATTTTCCATTAAGACAGATTTTGTCCTCATGAAAATTCTTCTTATAACTACTCAGATTCATATAAAATGATAGCTATTGGGGAAGGTGAGTTTTTCTTTCTTTTTGTGACTAGTATTTCTGTCAAAATTAGGAAACTAACCTTAGGCCTCAGAGCTACTCCTTTCAAGGACAAGTAGGTAGAAAGAGTTCTGTTATAGGTCAGCTTATCAAAGGCAAATCCAAGCAAAACCTTGACTTTATTTTTTAAATAATCAGTCTGTAGACTTATTGTACTTTGTCTAAAGACGTGTAAAGACGTGTGTTAAAATTGAACATGACCTTATCCCTTTGATGCATGTCTTCTTAATTTCTTTTAATTATTTTTATCCAAAGAAAGGGTCTGTTGGGATCTGAGATGAATATTGGTCAATGAGAGTTACATATTTCTCCTTGTTCTGTGGTTGGGATTAAAATTTGTATAGTGGCACACTGCAATGTTAAAAAAAAGGGAAGAGTCACTTTAAAATGCCACAAATGAAAGTAAGGTTTCTTCAGGTAAGTTTATATTTTAATCAGATATCCTGTCTGGTGTATAAAATGAGAAAAACAAGGAAGGGCCTGTGTTCCCTGGTTTGCAAGAGTCTACATGATTTGTTCTTTCATGTTTAAACTCTTAACAACTGCACGTATCCATGAAAGTTAACACTACATTTTTTTCTTTTTTTAGCCAGGGCCTCGCTTTATAGCCTAGGCTGGCCTCAAACTTGCATTCCTCCTTGCCTCAGCCTCCTGACCGTTAGAATTACAGGCATACCCCACCACACCAAGCACAATGTCAACATTCTAAAAGATCCTATTGAAAATAAATTTATAGGGTTCTCTTACAATGGGGTGTATACCTTAAGCTTCAATTCAATGCCTTCTGGCAAGTCATTTTCTATTGTAAAAATGTTTTACGCCTCATATGAAATCCAGAGTACTCAAGCAGTACCCTTACAATGACTCTGTTTGTCGAGGAAGCAAAACAAGTAAGAATTATTGACTACACAGGAGGATATCATATTATGAGAGAGATCATTTTATGTCAGAATTACTGAGGTCAATAAAGTGTTAAATTCCTTCAAGATATTTTTACATTCTTTCTACTTTCTAAGCCCCACTGCTTAAGAGAGCTTAGAAGCATATCTTTGATAACAAACAGGACATTCATCATAAGCAAAAGGCCATTTCCCTTCTTCTTATTCTGCCAGAGAGAGAGAGAGAAAGAGAGAGGAAGTCAGTGCTTTCTAATCAAGACTGAGAATTAAATTAGTTATCACAAGATCTCGAATGCAAGCTTTTTTCTTCCCCCCCCCCATCCTCCTCCTTCCCCTCTAGTGCAAGCTTTTATTTGCCCTAAGAAGTAGATTTTTGAAATAGCTCCATCAATAATTGCCAAAGGTTACCAAGGCCTTGTAGTTAACATGAATTTTGGAAATTTGCTATGTCCATTTTCCTTTGTTACCAGGCCAAAGAGTAAATGTTTATGGTTCCGTGTACTTCTCCAGTTAACACCGTGGTTAGCTCCTGTGCAAACTGCATTGTCCAGCATTCCCAGGTGTTGTCATTCCCAGCTCTGATGAATGTGTAGGCCACTTACTCATATCCTGCAGGGAGGGAGAAGGAATGGAATAAAAATTCACCAAGTCTTTGAAGCCAGGCAAGGGGCTGGATCAACAAAGTCTAGTGATAGAAAAACCAGCCCCAGCTGGACAGGGACAAGTCTTGGCAAATATTAGACCAATAGTCTCATAGTTAATGTCCCCTTGACCTGCGTGTGGAATGTCACCCGAGGCCCCAGGTGAAGTGAGCTGTCCCTGTTAGCTCCCTAACAACCTGTGTTTTTCTTTTATAACATACTGGCACTTGTACCTTCAGTGTCTGTCTTCCACACTAAATCCCATGTCTTGCTCACTCCTGAATTCTGGCACCTAGTACATGGTATATGTTCAATAAGTACTTGCCAAATAAATGAGTGGATGGAGAGGGGAGGAAAGGAGAAGTAGAAATCTCATTTCTTTTACCATTCCTAAGGGCTGTCTGTTTATATGTCATTTTCATTTGGTCTTCACAACGACCTTACAAAGTCTTATTCCTGCATCAGAGAAAAAGCAGCTAAATCTCAAAGTAGTTGACACACCAGAAGTCTTAACACTGGTAAAACTAGTATCTAAACTCAAGTCTGTGCCTCCAAAACCCATCCTTACCTGTTGACTGAGTTGTCTCCTCTAAGAACCCAACTGTTTATCTCAGTCTACAGAGATTGAGTGTGTTTTCATATGGGTGGTATGTTTGACAAGGATTTTGTCTGTGACAGCACATGAAGGACCTCTGAGTTGAAAATTATAAACTTAATTTATTCTCTGATTTAACTGAAGACACTAACCCATAAACATCAGAAGCTTAAAGCAAAAATATCGTCATGTTTTGGTATTTGAGACTACTCTTGACATGTTGACTTGAGTAATCAGGTGGGAGAAACAGACACTAGATAAGCAAGTAGACACCATTGCCTTGCTATACAGTAAGTTCTCCTAGGAGTGTGGACACGCCTGGCAAGGTGCCTTCCAACCAGAGCAGCCTTGATGTTAGCACATTGCTGTAGAGTCTGAATTGCTTCACCATGGGCACACCCCAACCCCACATACACATAAAACCATTGGTAGTCCATGGTGCAACCCCAGGCCAGGAAACCACGTCAGGTTCCCAGAACAGCAGGGCCAGAAATTGGGTTTTGGGCTTATTGTAGGAGCAATGGGCAAATTTTCTAGCAACCTCGGGGGTGGCCCAGAGCCCAGCAAGGCAGGGCCAAGTGGTACATGTATTCCATGACTGTGGGGGTACTCACTATGCTGAGTGTGTCTGTAAGCATGCCAGCAGGTGTCGGTAAACAGAGGAGAAGGGGTATGGCCACTGTTGTGCCTGGGATCAGCTGGAAAGCCTAGACACTCAATGGAAGTCAACCTAGGCTTACACTGCAAAGGAGGTCTCATTCTGTGCAGTACAGTGTGCATCCTAACCACATGTGCAAGATGGCCTCTCTTTGGCAGATTTGCAGGTACAGTGACCTCCTTGCTATTCCTAAACCATCTGAGTAATGACCACGCATCATTGAACCAGGCCCTCGGCACTGGTTTCCTTCTTCATGGGACAGCTCCCTGAATTTCTTACTTCCTTCACATCTCTGCTCATGTGTCACTTGAGAGGCTGTCCCTGGCCACTCAATCTAAAATAAATAAGACACCTCAACCACTACCACCAACAAGCCCTCTCCTGTTATTTTCCTTCATTGTCCTCTCATCTTTATTTACTGTCCCTTTCATGACTCACTTAGATACTTTATTTTGTTCGCTGCAATTTCCCCAGTGTATAAATAACTGTCCAGCACATATTCCTTGAGTGAATTAATGAGTATACGTTTATCATTGTATCTCTAGTCCCTGATATAATAGGCTGCACTATGCAGATTTATATAGTATATAATTATAGAATGCTTAACCCGGTATATGAGGCCTTTCACAGTCCTGCATCTGCTTCTCTGACACGCTTACCCCTTCCCATCCTAAGGGCTTGGCCATCCAGTGCCAGGGAAGGTGCCACACCCCAACATCTGTCTGCACATTCATTCCTCCTCTTTCTTCTATATGAAGTGCCTTCCTCTACGCGTATCTGCCCCAAGTGAAAATTGCTGCTGCTGATTCATGGTGGACACACTAGTGACTCTTAGTAGATATTTTTTCATGACACATTTCAGACTTTGTTCCATCCTTTATTTTACCTCAAATCCAGTCATCTGTGCCTTGTCTGCCATTCCTCTTGCTAGCAGTTTGAGGGCCTGGCAGTGTTCTACTCATTCAGCTTCATATGGTGTCACACAACAACAGAAAGAATGATGGTTTCCATCTGTGTGCCTCTCCTGCTCCAGGCACTGGGCCATCAGCCTTGCTTGCATTCTCTATGGTCGTCACAAGAACCTTCCTAGACCTGTGTCATTAGCAACATTTCAAAGATTAGGAGATGGAGGCTCAGTGAAGGGAAGCACCTCAGTCAGAGCTAGAAATGTCAGAGCCACACTTCACATCCGGGTCTGCCTATAAGCAGCACCCATGTCCCCTTGTCCTTTCCATGGCATTACAGTTAAAATGAGTTAATAAGTATACTCCTCATGGAGAAAATACTTTCAAAGTGAAATCATATTGCTGTAGTCTTCCCTTTTTTAATGTCTCTGAAGGTAACAAACCCTATAAATCTTTGTTGAGAAATATTTTATTTACTGCATGTATAGCCCCTCCTCCCCCCCATCATCACTCTCCTCCCCCAAGCCCCCAACACACACAATTGATAGGTGACTGACTGACCCTGTAACTTTTTAAAAGCCGAGCACCAGATTTGAGGATTCAGCCCCGGTTCACTTAAGAGTCAACTCAAGGGGGAAATAATTGTTGTCACATAAATGCATCATCTGGTTTGGTTTTGGTTTTTTCCCCTAACAGATAGCATTTTTTAAGTGTCTCAAAGCTCCAGATTTACTTGGCATTTTTTGTCTGACTTCAGTAGCTCATCATGACCTGATTGAGATTTCATTTTTGTCCCCAATGTGGAAAAAAAAAAAATAGCAGTCCTCACACATCATTTCATGGAAATAAAATAGTAAAAGCACTGTCTTTTCCCCCTGGAGACTTCAAAGTGGGTTGACTAGCTATTAAAAGTAGCTGGAAGTCTTAAATAGTGTTTTATTTTAAGTGTAAGAACATTTCTCCATTTATGAATTCACTTATGACTTCCAGATGTTCTTAGTTTTTATAATTGATAGTATATTTGCTAAAAATAAATTTCCATTTACTCCCAGAGAAATGTCTTATACAGATCTGTGCCACTTGAGAACTACACTTAGGTGTAAACGCTTTTATAAACACATTTGTTCATAATTTTATGAGAGCAGCAAGAGTGACAATAGCTTATTTTACAATATGTTACAATATGCCCAAAGAGCAAGGTTTCATTGCCAAAAAAATTTAATTTCATTGCTTTTTATTTTTAAGAACAAAAGCACTTAGCTTGAATATAAGCCTTTTGGGGAAGGTTTCCCCTTCTGTCAGATGTCCTAGACTGGTGTAGGTGTCACCAATGAATAAAACCAAATGTAGCTGAATACTTAGTATTCAGAGTAGATGCAGAGTTAAAAAAAAAAATGTGACAGTTGCATATTTGCAAGACATAAATTATGCATCACCAACTTGCCAGCTCTTGGCTTTTTACTCAAAAAAAAGTCATGCTCCCTGTGTAATTCTGGCTCCTTTCCAGAGTGTGTATTCCTTACTGCTAGCTGAGAAGGGAGGCCAAAGCCCCGTGCTGTTTGCATTTGTGTAACAGTTCTCTAATACCCGGAGTTCCTCCATAAATAGCCAGCTCTGCCATACCCCAGGAGAAAAGAGCCACAGGAAACCTGGGAATGTGCAGGTAGACTTACTGATCCAAGCCTGCAGCGGGAGGGGTGTGTCCTGTCCTGTCCTGTCCTGTCCGAGTCCCCAGCCTTGCAGGACTGTTTACCTAAGAGGCACAGAAGTCTGCCTGGGAATGACACCGTGTGGCTGCTCCAGCCATAGCAACAGCAGCAGCCGGCTTTTTGTTGTTGTTTACAGTCTGGTGAGCCATGCTCCTTTAAGGGAACACAAACTCCTTTCCCTCCTTCCTGGCCCCAGTCTGTAATCACCCAGGCTGCAGCCGCCTACAGCTATCAGGAGGAGTGACCGAAGGGAAATCATCTGTGTCTCTCCCTGAAGAAAAGTTAAAGGCATGCAGATAGACAGTCGCTTTGGGCAGGAGAGTGGCAGATAGTATCCGGCGGGGAGGGGGGACAGCAAGCCATGATTCTGATTTCTGTGCTGGGTACAGGAGCAGCTGTGGCTTGGGAGGTTCCATCCAGAAGGTGTGGATTTGCTGCAGTCGTTTTGGGGGTCTGGTGAATAGGAGCTATTTGGGAACCTTGTGCTACCGTTGCAGAGATCCACCATGAAGATTCAGGAGCGTGCCAGTATTCCTGACACCAGGCAGCAGAGGAATCAAGATGCCGATTGCCTGCAGGACAGCTTTGTCTCTGAAGTGCCTCAGCTGGACCTGGCGGCATTGTGTGATGAGAAGAGCTGGGAAGGTAAGCGATCATTGCTGCTTGGATGGCTTAGCATAGCAATGCATAGAGAAATAACCGTATAGGGGACGTGTAACCGCCTGCCCGTGCACAGAAGAGCCAGAGCCTACACAAGTAACTGACTTCCTAAAGGATTCAAAATCCTTTACCTGCTTGGGAAGGTGTCACTTTAAATGTTGGCAAGGGTGGTTGCAATCTGAGAAAGAAACTCCATTGCCCTTACTTATCACAGTGTCACCTTGCAGTCTTTTTTTTTTTTTTTTTTCTTTTTTAACTCACCAGGAGTGCTGACACAAGCATCTTTTCCTCCTAATAGCACCTGGTAGGGGCAAAGTGCATTTAGGATTTCCTTATTCATTACTCACCCCACCCACTCACTGCTAGGTGCCGGCCACCTTCCACCTCCATTAAACCTTCCTGTCTTTCCAGAAAGATGTTTGTTTGGCTTTCTTTGCTTCTTGGTCTGTTTCTCTAGATCCATTTTTTGCTTTAAATTCAGCGTAACAAACTGGGTTTGCTTATGAAAGAAAATACTGAATCACAGTGCTTCTTACAGAAAACCTGGACTTTGGTGTTCAAGGTTGGTTGTTCAGAGACTTGGTGAAAAGATTAGAATTGACTTTGAGGAAGAAGATGGCAGCCTGGTCACACCATTTCAGGGAAGAGACTGTGGCAGTTTTACCAGCTGCTCTTTTCATGAACCCTGTGCCGGCATCCAAACCTCAGAACCTGTATTGGTGTGGATCTGAAATAAGTGCCAGTGGCAACAACCAGGGAGAAATGGGGCTCCTGGTTGCAGTACAGTGGGGCGACTTCACACACAGACATCTGGGCTTGCTTCTCTTTTATTTCTACGTCTCCTTTTTTATTAACCAAGAAGTACACCTTACCTTAACTTAGATGAAGGCTAAAAGCGAATAACCCTGTTATGCTCCCTGCATCCAAGTCCTTAGTGAGAACAGACTCTTTATTCTACTTCTCCCTCTTGTAATCTAAGAAAACTATTCTAGTTCTTGTCATGCAATTAGGCAGTAGACCTGGGATTTTTGTCAGATTGATCCAGCTCACAATACATTCACTGAGAAAAACAAATAAATAAGGTTGTCTTGCTTTGTTTTTTAATTCAAGTGATATATTCCTGGATATTGTTTAATTCTTTTTTCATTTTTGCATACTTTAAATAATTGCATGTGTTTTTAATCCATACATTGCAAACAACCTGCTCTTCTCTACCCCACCCACAAAAAAAAACCAAAAAAACTCATAGTTATCTCTGTTGCCCAAATAGAAGAAACAAGCAATAATCAAAATAAATGCTGTATTTGGGTTTTAACGATTTGATCTGCTATAAGGCTCTAAGATAAAAAGTAGGATTTGAGGTCAGAGTTTAAATTAAGCACATTCTCTTCCTTCTGGAATGGACTCATTTTTGATTGCTTTCATCTTAGTTAATCATAAATTTATGATCTCTCCCAGCACGTTTAAAAGAAGCTAATAGAAAGCTGCAAATTCTCTCCTGAGTGGTTGGAAACTATTTTACAGTTTTATTAAAGCTATTTCATTACTTTAGAGAACTTTTCTCCAAATAAATAATAGTAATGTCAGGGGACCAAGATTTGATTCTGGAATTCTATGTAGAATTTTTTTAAAATGTTATTGTAAAAAAAAAAATTATGTTCCATTCCAAATAGGCTTGGGATTGTGTTACCTGTGTAATTTATTATATGGCTTTCTATGACTTTTTTTTGCCACTTACCACATTTGTTATTGAACTTGCATATCCTAAAAATCTACATGGATTTATTTCAAGGACACTTTGACCATTTGGTTGCTACTTTCAGTGACCTTTTTAAAATTATATGTTTATTTTTACTTACTAAATTGCTTTATAGCAACAATATAGCCATAAGTATGTCTAACTAGAGGAATTTCTGTATAAAGGTAGATAAAACAAGATCAATACGTTTGATTGCTAAATATGAGCTTTCTTTTTTATCATCAGTAACAAACAAACATAATGGTGACTTTCCAGTAAGGAATAAACTTTGTACTCATTTAAGCTGAGCATGTGAAACCAAGGCAACAAAATATGTAAGGGGAGGTAATAATTACCAAAACCATGCAAGCCGGTATCCTCTGTAGGCCTCCAGCATGGTTCTTAAAGCCACAGTGTACAGTAATTCTCTTTTGGGTTTGCTTGCTAGTTCCCTGTCCCCACACCACAATCAGACTCTCATTGCTGTGGAATCAGCTGAGGTAGTACATGGTAAACAACTCGCTGGTGGGAACCCTGCAGTTGGCGCTCCCATATGGATATGGCGTTCTCTGCCTTTTGGGACTTAGTGTCAAGAAAACAACAAAAGAGATTGAATCTGATAGGTAGGTTCCATGGGCTACTGAGAGTGGATCTGCCTTAGAACAGTGAGTGTGGAATCCAAGTATCATCATGCTTGTTGGCACACAGCTATTTGGGAGACAGATAGATGCGTAGACAGACAGACAGATGGACAGACAGACAGACAGATAGATAATGACAGATAGATGATAGGTAGATAGTGATAGGTGATAGATAGATAGATAATGATAGACAGACAGACAGATAGATAGAGAAATATGCTTTAGGGCACGTAATGTAATCTGTCTACATGATGTCATCATCAACGTCGCTGTCATCATCGCTGTTATTAGGGCTTTCACTCTCCAAAGTTAAATGACTCTGCAAATCAAATACTGTTCTGTTTTTGAAAGCTCTTCCAGTTACATTATGAGAATGTCTCCCAAATAGCTCATCCATGTTGACTTGGGGGTACTGTTTTAGGACGTATCTGGTTTTAAGCATGAACCTACTCTTTTTAGTTTGTTCTGAAATTAAGTTTAAAAGGGCATCTATTTATTTGGTTGAGTCAAGCCCAGGCTGACCTCAAACTCTTGATGCTCCTGCCTCAGCCTCCCAAGTGCTAGGATCACAGGCACGTCAGGCATGTACCACCACGCCCAGCTACAAAGGCATTTTTTAAAGGTCATGAAATACTTCATCGTCAGCTGCTTATCCACAATAACTTTGGACATTTTCTAAAAGAGTCCTGGGAGACAAAGGGATCTAAAAAGATCTCCCAGTTAAACCCTCCATCATACATGTAAGAAAGCTGAGCTCAAACCGGGCAAAATGAGGATTCTTAGTCACAGAGTCAGTCCCCTGACTTCTAGCTGGTGCCTCTTTCTGGGCAGTGTTGTTCAGGCAGCATGACAGGCAGAGGATCAGACTGGTTGAGAGCCAGACTCCTGGGTTCAAATACTGCCTGTGTTACTTAACCAGCTCTGTGGGCAAGTTAATAAACCTCCATTTTGCCTGGATTTCTTCATCTTTAAAGAAGTGTGACAACACCAGAGAGTAACACTAATAGATACGGTAGTATCTGCTTAGTAACTGTGTTATAAGGGTCAAATGAGCTAAAATTTGCCAGGTGTTCCACACAGTGTGAACACATGGTAAGCACTCTGTGAGTGTTATTGGTTACTGTCTTCCACAAATATTTGTAAGTATAGACTGGTGGGGAGGGGGTAGAAATCAGCTTTCCTTGAAACTTGAGCCCAGTGACCATGGATGGTCCTAGACATAGAAGTGGACTATCACTTATACCAGGCCTTCCACAGAGTTCCTAGAACTACCTGGGCTCCCGACCTTGTTTCTTTTTTTGGTGGTGTGCTAGCTGTGGATTGCGAAATGTTGCACTTGAAAACATTCCAGCGGGGCCTCCAATGGGCCCCTTGATAGCTTTGTCCAGATGTTCAAGGTGTAGACAGGTGGGCAGTGAATTAGTTACTGATTATGCAACCGCACACAAAGGTGCAGATCCGTGGATCAAAGTCAGAGCAAATGGGGAAGTTCTCATTGGTTAAAGTCCTCAGCTCTGTCCCGTTTTATACATTTATAAATGATTTAAGTAGAGCTGTTGAGGACCTGCTTATTAAACTTGCTAATAGGGGCAAAGCAGATATATGAAATTTAAGGATTACATTTGGGATTGACAAAGCTGACTGTCAAGGTTCCTTCTAAATCTGGTAGTTGAAGACTATTGGAACAATTTTGGGGGGGTTGTGGGGGACTAGGATTTGAACTCAGACTTTGCACTTGCAAATCAGGCACTCTACTTCTTGAGCCGTACCTCTAATTCATTTTGATCTGGTTATTTTGGAGAAGAGGGTCTCTCGAACTATTTGCCCAGGGTGGCCTCAAACCACAATTCTCCCAAGTAGCTAGGATTTACAGGCGTGAGCCCACTAGTGCCCAGCCCTATTGAACAACTTAATAGGACTACCTTTGTTCTAAGGTTAAATTTTGGAACACTAAAAAAAAGTTACGAAAGGGTTCCATAAGAAAGGAGCCAGGCCCTAGCAGGGCCTACATTTTTCTATCTCTGGGATGTCTGAATCCCTCCTAGCACAACCAAGAGGAAAGATGGGCCTGACATCATGTCAAGCAGTAGTGGCTCTAAATCACACAGCTGGAAATGAAATGTGGAAAACATCAGCTCCCGTAATTCTGTGCGGAGTTCATAGAAATAAGTCATCTCAATAGCCACTCTTGTGTGAAGTAAGTGGGTTCAGCCAGCCATACAGAGTGACCGTGTCTCCATAACCACATTAGCACTACTCAGATTTGTGCCTTCGTCCTACAATGAATTTCCTTTATTTCCACGTGTTCTGTTGTGTCTGAATTAGAACTCCCCCAGGACCTACTCTTTTTTTGTTACTTAGGTAGCAGAAATACAGCTTTTATCGCTGTTATTTCTGACCTACTATGCCGTCAGCTGACCTGGATAGATTAATTTTTAATAGAAAATATGCCATAATTATATACAGAGTTCAATGTGACAAGACACATGACTAAAAGCAAAATCACTATACCCAAGGAATTCTGATTTAGAGGGAAAAAAAGTTCTTCTGTGGTGCTTTAGGATGGAAATCCAGTTTGAAGCCCCAGATCTTTTGTTTTCCCTTTGAGTAATTTTCTCGAAATATTCTTGTCTATTTTATTGCTCCAGAGGTGCTGATTAAAATATAAATTGTTTCTCAAAGTAGCGATTGGGAACAGCCAGTGAACACATCCTCAAAACTGGCTCTCTAGCCAGGCAACACGGTTGGACATGTTAGTACCACGTTGTTCTGATTTAGATCTTACTTGTTTTCCTAGTGAGTACCAACTATCCAAACTCAAACTAGCCTTGTATTTTTGCAATCATTTCAAGCTAAAAGGTGGGGCTATTAGTTTGATTGGTTCTTAGCTATATCAAACTATGTCATTTTATAAGTTTCTTCAATAAGATCCTTAACTTATAAGACTGATGGAGAGAATGACAGGAAGGAGAGAAATCATGAAAACATTTCATGTCACAGAGGTGGGAAACTTCACTTCTGTTCCACCTGTAGAATAATGGCAAAACATACCTTTTTATTGTCGTAAAAGTTGAAATTCACAGTGGCAAATCTCATTGTTGAATAAGCACATTTTCCCCTCCACCTCACCTACAAGCATTAATTAGAAAAATGCCACCCACAGGGCTAGAAAAAAGTTTCTTCATGTGTGTATTTCCTATGTACCACTGGTGACACTAGGAAAAGGACACATTTATTTGTTCTGTCATTAACATGATTGCTCAAAATAAAGCTGTGTCAACAAACAAGGAAACGGATCGATGGCCCTGTGCTAGCCACCAAGTGTCAACCGGAATTCGGTTTCATGATTTATATTTTATAGTGAATTGAAGATCACGACTTGTCTTTTATTGGAGACGTGTGATTAATGGGCACTCACTTTGCAGAGTGTTTTGTACACAGAGACCACGTGGTTGAAAACTTAAAGATTACTGGTGACATTTTAAAGAAATATTCTGCTAGATTCAGACAAATTAAAGGGCTATAAGATCTAAGGTAATATCTTTTCAAACCATTTTTTAAATGAGTAGGCATGTCAAGCTAACCTGCACACTTTTGTGTCAACATCAGCATCAGACTTTGTTTTGCCAAAGCCCTCTGTCCCCAAAAAGCTTCTTGCCCTCCCCCCAGGTGTTTTGCTCCTTTGCCACTCTGTGGTGAGGTTACAGCTGGCTGCATTGCTGCCTAAGCCGTATTAACCCCTTCTCTGTCCTGGCTCAGTGGGGTTTTGTCCTTACAGAAAGGCACTTATGAAATAGAAATTGCAATCTAATCAGGTCATCTTCTGCAACTTCACGCTAATTTTTAATTTTTTAGGAATTGCCCTCCACTCACCCTCTCCTTGCTTGTCAGTCCATTTTTTATGCTTTTATGTCCTAAGAGCTGAGCAGCTTACATCTGAGTCCTGCTTCTTAGCAGGAACACACCGATGATCACATTAGTTCAGATGGCTAGCCGATTCCCAGCCTCCAGCCTTAGCCACGTGCAACTGCCTCCACTTTTTGAGACAAAATAAATAAGAATCATCTGCCTTAAACACTTTCATTTTCCAAAATATTTATATTATCTGTATTCCTAGATAACTTGGTTTCCTTTAAATTTTGAGAACCTGTGGACCTCGTCCCATGTGAAATTAATTTTTTTGTGTGTTTTTCCTCTCTGTAACACTGTGGGGATTCCAGAAATTTCAGGCAGTCATTGCTGTTATCAAAAACCCAGCACATTCTAAATGGAAGCAATCATCTGAAAGTCAAGAGACTTAGTTTCTAGACCCAACTTCTGTCATTGATTAGATGTTTGTTCTGAATGTTCTTGAGTTTCATTTGCCTTATGGGTAATCTGCTGGATGGGACCACTCGTTTGCAAACCTGGCTGCTTTTAGAATCACTTGGACAACTCTTTGTGTGAACATGTGTGTATATGTGTGTGTGTCTTTCAGTCAGTCAGTCATCTCTGATCCTTTAGCTAAATATTCTGCTTAGCTGAGTGGAGTAAGGCCTGTGTGTCGGTAGTTACTTCTCTTTCCCTGTGTCACTGTGCAGAGTTGAGAAACCATGAAGTTGGATTATAAATGGAGTTAGACCTGGCTCTCACACGCTTGGATTGTAATTTGGTCTTTCTAGATTAAAAAAGCTGAATGTACACATATTTAAGACAACTTGATAAATTTTATAGCTTCATAGCTGAAAGAGCAACTCACAATTCCATGATTCAAACTGTAGGAATCCCAGAATTAAAGGTCAGGGGCAAATTCCAGCCTTAAAGGAAGTCAGTAGTCCAGGAGTACATTTAAAATCCAGTAGTACATTTAAGCTATTTTTTAATGCAGAGTATTACAAATGGAATACTGTCTGTCATCTGAGATCTATCTTTAAAATCTTTTAGATGATTTTTTTAGTAAGGAAAGGAACTTACTACAGTAAGTGGAAATAGACATTTACCCTCTTTCTTCCCAAAATGACAGGTCAGGATTTTATACTATGTTTTTTCTTGCAGATTATTGTAAGAATAAACCTCTACAAATAATTTTTGTAGAATAACCTCTAAGAATGACTTTTGATTAACTTATGTATGTTTCTCCCTCAAACTGTAGTCTTAAGCAGCCTCTGAAATTCCAAGTACAAATCACACATCAGAAACCTGCTAATCCCACCCACTAAGTAAAAGCACGCAGAAGAGCTTATGGAATAACTTAGCAGAAGTTGTAACCCCCCTCCAGAACCAGGATCTCTCAAAGCTGATATGACCGCTTAGTGGTTTCAATGAAGGATGTATAGCCATGGTGCCAAATGCTGCCTCCTTGACACACTGCTCTTCTTTTCAGTTACATCCTCACATGGAAAGGTTTTTTTTTTATCACTGTCTGCTAGGGATGCCAAGAGCACACCCTATTAGCTTCACTCCTTCCAGGCTGTTCCTAGCCAATTCTTTTTTGAAAGCAAGTGAGAATGGAGATAAAAGGTAGATAGATAGTGCCTATCAGATTTCGTGGCAATTTCAATTGAACGTGGTGTCCCTAGTCTGGACTTTATATCTAAAATGAAGAAACATTCAGTGGACAGCTTCCTAAAGCATTCAGGAAACTTGGAAACCAGCAATGCTTTGGAGTGGCGTTGACCTCTTACCCATTCTTTTCCAGAGCCTGTCCCTACCTTTTCCTCCTGGCAACGGGAGAATGTGGACTCTGACGAAGCCCGCCTGTCCCCGCAGGCTGGGCGCCTGATTCGCCAGCTACTGGATGAGGACAGTGACCCCATGCTCTCTCCTCGGTTCTATGCCTATGGGCAGAGCAGGCAATACCTGGATGACACTGAAGTGCCTCCATCTCCCCCCAACTCCCATTCTTTCATGAGGTATGCCTTTCTGGGTTGCTAGTAACCAAGTGCACTGTCCCCACCACCTTGGGAAAACCAGGATGGTGTTGGTGGCTGGTGGTTTTATAAGAATGGCGTCTGTGGAGGAACACACCTGAACTCCATCCTAGTGGTCTTTTTCCAGTTCACTGCAGCCCAGCTGCAGCAACCCGAGTTGAAGTTCTGTTAGCGCTTCCTTTCCAAAGCTGTCTCAAATGTAACTTTTAGATGCACAGTATCCAATTATAGATGTGAGTGAAAGAAAGTTAGACCCACTTGATAGGTGGGACACACAGAGCTGAAAGTCACAGAATGAATGAGTCAACTTCCTTTTATTCAAGTGGATGGAGGCTCTTGACTCTCCTCTGTCCACGCACAGCCCACAGCCCCTCCCAGCAGTCGGTGGCTGTTTGGGGGGCAGCTGACCCAAGTTGTGCCCCTCACAGGCGGCGAAGCTCCTCTCTGGGGTCCTACGATGAAGAACAAGAGGACCTGACTCCCGCCCAGCTTACCCGAAGGATTCAAAGCCTTAAAAAGAAGATCCGAAAGTTTGAGGACAGATTTGAAGAAGAGAGGAAGTACAGAGTAAGTTGTCCCCTCAGGGGCCTCTCCTCCTCCTGGCCCTTGATGTGCTATCATGTCAGCTACTCAGAGAAGTGACAAAAAGTCAAGGGAGATTTTTAGAGGGTCTCAAAACAAAAGACAATGAACTCTGGATAGTAAACCCTGATGAACCTTAGCCATCATGGATCACCATTTTTCTTGCACAAGCATAACCAATAAAAACTTACAAGCTTAAGTCTACATTTTGTAGATTTACCAGAGAGCAGGAATGGGGGGGGAAAAGCATTGAATGAATTATTTGGCTCACACTTAATTCAGATCCTCTTTCTAAAATGTCCTTATTGCTGAGCTCCTTCTATTCTGAGCTCTTTCCTTAAAGCTTCCCATTCAGGGGAAGAGGCTTGTTTTCATGGTGGTTAAACCCTACAGATAGTGGGAAGAAGTCTATGACCAGAAAGACCTAGCATTTTTGCCTCTGAGGAATCCTTTCCTACCTGAGAAGCAGGAGATGTTTCTTTTTTCCCCACTTCTCCCTACTTTATTCTACTATACTACAATAAATCCTTGCTAAAACTTAAATAAGTAACGAGATCTAAAGAAGGGTGATGTGCATTTACTCTGATAAATCACAGTTAATTCGTTATTCTGAGGGGACCCAACTTTGCCTTCCTAATTAACAAAAAACGCTTTTCCCTGCCCCCTCACTTCCAAGACATTTACTCAAGACTTCCTTTCCTCAGCCTTCTCACAGTGACAAAGCAGCCAATCCAGAGGTTCTAAAATGGACAAATGACCTTGCCAAATTCCGGAAACAACTTAAAGGTAGGTGAAGTTTTGAACCTGTGGCATAGCCTCTGCACAACAGGCCAAGGGCTGAATCCATCGTCTTGGGTCCCTCCAAGTGCCACAGCTAAAGTATACCAGGGTCCTTCTGCTCCCTGTGCCTAGGGCCAGCCTCCCATATCTTCCCAGATTGTCAACCACTGGACCGTGGATCAGCTGAGATGCAGATTCTCCAGCATTTCCTCATTCCCCCCATCACTCAGAGAATGATGATGGTTCAAGCTGTCACTTCCTAAGCACCTGTTTAATCTAAGGCATCATTTACCTAGAGGTGACTCTATAGCTTGTGTCAGTGAAATAATTTCAAAATGAGGTGTGTGAGTCATACAGAGAACGTCGGCCAACGGTTGGCCAATTAGATTAGTACGTATCTTTATGCACTAAGGGAACAAGGTATGGGAAAGTGTCTGCCCCGTTCTGAGAACAGCTTACCCTGATGTATCTAACACAAGGGTGTTAAAGAACTAGCGCTTTCTTGGGATTTAGGGTTTGGGAAACATTCCAGATCATCCAGGAAGATATTATCAGGATTTCAGGTTTTACATAATGATTCAGGGATTTCCACTGAGAGAATAATTAGATACTCCCTGGGGGAGGGGAGGGCATGGCTAAGCAGTTACTGACATCACAGAAAAGCAATTTGGCTTCAACAGACATCAATCCTCATGCATCTCCATTCCCACAACCTCTCACCCAGAGTCAAGACTAAAGCTGTCTGAAGAGGACCTAACTCCTAGGACACGGCAGCGAAGCAACACACTCCCCAAGAGTTTCGGCTCCCAACTGGAAAAGGAAGACGAGAAGAAGCAAGAGCTGGTAGATAAAGCCATCAAGCCCAGCGTTGAGGCCACGCTGGAATGCATCCAGAGGAAGCTGCAGGAGAAGCGAGCGGAAACCTGCTGCCCTGAGGACATTAAGGTGTGATGATTCTGAAGGCCCCAAGTGACCTGCTGGTCTTAAGTCACTGCAGCCAAGATGGTAACAACACCATCTCGCTGTTGAATCCCCACGGGCACGGGATGCCTTTTGAAACCTGCCCACCGAGAGAAAGACCGCAGTGTTTTATTTCCGGGTCCTTTGGTTTCTGACTACGAATTGAAAGCAGACAACTCTTGTGTAGCTCTCAAAATGAACTTGCAGTGGTTAGGAGATGGTCTGATGACTCCCTGAGGTAGGATTATAGACACACCTTTGAGACTCCATAAGCTGCAGCTTTAATCATTGCTTGGAACATCAAGCTCTGCCCAGTCTTCTACACACCTTTGTCCTTGCAGTCGTGTGCTAGGTAGATGGTGATGACACTGCAGCATTCCTGGCAGGGGGCAGGAGCAGCTCACTCCTGAGAGAGCTTTGGACAGAGCCAGGGAGAGGTGTTGTCCGAGGATTCTTGTTACCCTTCCTTCGTTAGGTTTGTTTAACTAAATAAAGAAGTTGGAATGTTCACAAATGTTTTCCAACTCTGTTACTCTTATCCCTGTGTTTATGCAGGATATGACCAAAGACCAGATTGCTAATGAGAAAGTAGCTCTGCAGAAGGCCCTGCTGTATTACGAAAGCATCCATGGACGGCCGGTATGTGATGCACTCACATTTGTAAGTGGGGTTCACTATGGTTCTGGCATTAGACACAGACGTTCCGTGGTCACTGTCTAGTGCATGGCGCTCCCAAATGGTTTTTTTCTTTACTTGGAGGATAAAGGAAGCTAGCTGTGTATTTACACCATGTCTAAGCTTTTTGAAAGCTTAGCCAGTAAGCATGTTCTGTTACCTAGTAGTCACTGAACTTAAATTGATTTTCAATGAAATTAAGTTTGCAATTAAAATTAAGGCACTAGCATCCTGTAGGGGGTGGGGAGGAGAAGATGGGAGTGGGGACTACAGGGTACCCATAGCCCTAGATTGAGGAGCCTTGCCTGTCTCAGGTCTGCCCCCATAAGTTCTCAATGGCTCTTGGCTTTCACATCCATAAATTGAAGGCGTTAAGCTAGAATGATGTGCCCTAAAACTCAGTCTCTCTGTAATGCAGTTGCAAGGGATATTTGTTTATAAAGGACTTCCACGGCACTCAGAATAAAAAGTATGGCATCCAAAATATGGTCTTGCGTGTTCATAACAACAGGAAGTTTTGGAGGTGGTTTGCTATTCAGCAAGCATTTATTTAATGTTATTTAATGTTTGCCGTTAGTTGGAGGGGGGACAGTAAAGATAGGCTTCTGCTCTCTTTCATGAGGAAGACACCTTTTGGTTGGTTACTCTGTTCAAAATGTCATCAAGAACACAATATAACAGACTCTTCAAAGCAAGTGTAGGAAGCATGGGGTTCAGTTTCAGGGTGCAAAAAGCCTAGGTTTTCCTTTTCAAAGCCTAGGTTTTGACTTATGGTCTCAGCCATAGCTATATGGTTATCTTGAAGAAGCTCTTCTAAAGAAAGAAGCTTCCGATGACATACTAGCCTTTGGTTTGCTTTTTTTTATAGTGCTGGTAACTGAACTCAGGGTTGTTAGGATGCTAGGCAAGCTCTCTACCGCTGAGCTACATCCCCAGCTTCCAGTCGCTTCCAGTCTTGAGGTCTGTGAGGGTGAGGGCGAGGGTTCGGGGCCTTGTCCACCTAGCAGCATCCAGCACAAGACCTGCCACACTGCGTGTGCCTAATACCCGTCTCTAACTTGCATCATCCCTTGCACTTTAGCTCTGAATAGATCAGGTTTAAACTTTCCCTTTTTTTTTTTTTTTTTAAGAAAGTGCTAGCACTGATGGTGACTGATTTTTGCTGGCCTGTCCCTGCAGTGGACACTCTGGGGTAATGCGCATGTTTCAGCCAAGTTTTGTTTTAGATTTTTTAAAGGCATTAACCAAGTGATGAATGTTCTAGAGCTCAAATACATTGTGAAACTTTGTATGCTCTATTGGAGTATTGGGACAGGTAGAGGGGAACACAGGACCCCTTTTCCACTACAGGCTCAGGACTATAAGGGTGGAACTCATGGCTACCCGGCAGGCTTCATTGACTTTCTGTTTTCCTCCTCAAACGGTTCTTCTTTCCTTTGCATGGGTTCTTGGGGTGGCAGTGATAGACGAACTTCCTTGCCTGAGCTCACAGCTGTAATCTGGGTTGACCTGACCAGTTCAGTGGCTTTCTCCAGGTCGGGCAGATTCTCTTACTCCACCTGCACTGAGGCCACTGGCACACACGGAGCTTTGGAGATGCAGACTTAGATTTGGACCAGCTCTGTAGTATTAGGCTACTTAGGTAACCTCTTGGACCCTCATTGATAGACTACAAGTCTCTTATGGGTTGTCATGGGAACTAAATGACATCACACACACACACACACACACACACACACACACTTATGTGTCTATTTACCTGTAGGATGTCTGGCACTGAGGAAGAGGGGCGGAGTGACTTTGGGGATTGCACAGTAAATGATAGTTTTTGCTTCTGTTACAATTATATGTTCTACTGTCTGAGGCCTACTTCTGATTAAATGATTAAATTACGAGAAAGAATGTAATTTTTTTATCTCTTATCCTTGGGAATAGGAAATATTAGTTCTTGGCCCCGCCTTACTGCCTCTCAGATGGGTTTGGATGGTTCTAGCATCTCACAGGGCAGGGAGCAAATGCTGTAGGAAATATGGTTTCAGACCAGACTCTGTCTCTCTGGAGCACGATGCTTTAACCTCCTCTGGAAAAGCAGAGTTCACTTGATATCTGGCCAGGCTGAAAAGCAAAGAGTGAACTTTTAATTCTTGGATCTGTAGTGTTACCATGGACCCTGGACTGTAAATATCATTTGGATAATAGTCTTCCTTGATGAAAAATAAATGTAAACTATCATTTCAAGTCCCAGGGTTTTCCCCTCTCAGGTGCTCAGAGCTCATGGGTTTTGATATGTGTACAAATTCTGATTTTAAATGACACTACTGTCATAATCACAGGCCAAGCAGTTACCTGCTGCTCATGCACGTTTTTTTAGCAACACTGTCTGTTTTAACAGAGCATGCCATAGACATGCACATGTGAAAACAAAACCACACATGGGGCCAGCCATGTTGGCTCAAGCCTGTAAGCCTAGCTACTCAAGAACCAGAGATTGGGAGGATGACGGTTCCAGGCCAGCTCTGGCAAAAAGTTTGGGAGACTCCATCTCAACCAATAAAAACTGGGCATGGTGGCACATATACCTGTCATTCCAGCTATGGTGGGAAGCATAAATAGAAGGGTGACAATCCAGACTGGCCTTGGAGTAAAGCAAGACCCTATCTCAAAATAACCAGAACAAAAAGGGCTGGGGGTGTGGTTCAAGTGGTAGAGCACCTGCCTAGCAAGCTCAGTGCCCTGAGTTCAAACCCCAGTACCGACAAAACAAAACAAGAAAAGGAACGTGATTCTTTATTGGTCATTCTTTCAGGGTGTCTTTTTCAACATTTAAGTATGTCATCAAAAGACCATGTCACAAAGAAATACAACAAATAATTACAGCTCACCATGTTACTTTGGTGCATATTATATTTTGATAATAAATCCACAGGGGAAGAGAACACCTTGCTTGACTAGAGCTTCTGGGCTCTTCTTGTGTCATTTCCTCATTGGCACAATTTTAATTCTGTGTTTCAGAACTATGGGGACTGACACAAGGTTGAACATAGGCAGGTTCACATTAAATTATAGAGTCAAATATAAATAGTATTCTTTTGTTAGCTGTTGTTTTGTTTTTTCTGATCTTAACACAAGCAGTCTACTATTGTTACTCTATAATAAAGAAAAGAGAGTTGCCATTTTCCAAATTAATGGGCCAAGAGTTCAACAGTTATAAGAACCTATCTCATTTAGTCTTGTAGTTTTATGATTCACGAGTGCACACACACACACACACACACACACACACACACACACGCTCAGATCGCTTTGTTTTCCTGAGCTGTAGAGGGAGTATAGTCTCTGTATAGTCTCATGTCTCTCTGTAACATAAATTCTCACAAAGTTGTGCTTTTGTGCCTGTATTCACAAGCAGAGATCTTTGTAGACTCAGCAGAAGCAGAGTTCTCAGTTTGGTGGGCAGAATTCTTTTATGAAGAAGACAGTTTGGTCAAGCCCTACTTTAGGACATGGCTACAGCACACTGTTAAGATCCTGCTCCACTCATGTCTATCTTAGTTGTCAACAGAAGGAAAACTCCACTGAGCATCAGAGATGAGTCTTGTCCTTGTCACCTTCCCCAGTACGTAGTTTTGTCAGCTAAAAAACAAGGCTTGTCTAGGGCTACGATGCCATGCATCTCATTTTGACTTTGCTTCCAAGTAAATATGTCACTCAGTCTACCATTCACTTTTACGGTTCTGCCCACGTAACTGCTGCTAAAGTAATTAGGGAAGTTTTATTTAAGGTTAAGAGAACCCTACCAAAAGATAAAGGGAAGCCAATGCAGCTGTCTAATCAGGGCTGGATGATTTCTGTTTAGGAGTTGCCACTTATTAAATGTGGATAATTATTGGTTAGTGTTCCCTGTGTGTTTTGAATTACCTGAATCTTAAAGAGTAACCAAAAAATAGAGCAGTGCAATCTTTATTTGAATCATTAGCAAACAGAGTGGAAATGCTGCCTTCCCACAAGATCTTTCCTATCTGTATATTATGTTGTTTTGAGTAGTGCACAAAAATACATCTTAATAATAACCCTGTTTCCATACATTGGAAAACCATTCATCACTACCACTTAAATGAAAACTAAATAAAGTTTTGAAAGAGGAATGAAGGACTTTGAGGAGCTAGAACACTACATGTTTGGCCTAAAGTCATCTCCAACCAATTATAGATTGTGGAAGATTTTCTGCTGTGAATTCTGCAGCTTACCAGCCAGGAAAGTGAGACTCAGAGAACTTCAGTGGCCACATTTGTTTGTCACATGCTTCAGAGTAGAATGGATGGGTCACATGAGGAGCCTTAGGAATTATGCCAAGTGGCTTTCCAGAGTGCCCGCCCTTACCTGCAGTCAAGGAGAGTTCATCTGTTCAGCCTTCTTGCCAACACTTGACAATGTCTGCCTTTTCCTGTGAGCTATTGTGGTTGGTGTCAGGTAGTAACACCTGTGGTTTGTTTTTCCATTGTTTTCATATAAAATAATTTCTGAGTTCCATCCTAGTCTTGGCAGTCATTTTTAATGAAAGAATTAATTTAAAACTACATTTTGTAGAAGCAAGAACATGCCAGCTGCCCTTTAATATTGTGAAAATGGGAGTCATAAAATAAGGGGTTATTATTATTATCATCATTATTATTGCTAATAACAGAAAATCCACAAAATGTTTTGCAGGATGGCAATATTTTAGCCTAGCTTCTGAAGTTAATTCAGCTGGCCAAGTGGCTCAAGTGGTAAAATGCCTGCTTAGCAAGCATGAGGCCCTGAGTTCAAACCCCAGTACTGAAAAAGAAAAAAAGAAATGGCTGAAGTCAATCCAAAGTGCACTTTAGTATTGATCACACTGAGAAAGGCAACAGAAGATAATCCATGATGAATAATCCAGAGCTGTCTTTGAAGTTAAAAACCCAAAAAGGAGAAAAATGGTCAAAGCTGAATACTAGTGCTGGAGAAGCAGCTCAGGGAAACAGGCTGACTCATCCCTATATTCTGTCAGCAAATATTCTTTGCATACCTACTATTTGCCCAAATCTTGCTTTTAAAAATGAAAGAATTTCATGGGGGAGAAATGCTGTAACTGAATTGCAGGATGATATGTATTAAAATAGAAATGTATGAGTTTTTTTTTTTTCTTACCTGAACTCAAAAAATAATAGTCATGTGGGAATAGCACCTTGGAGAGTTTTAGGCAGAGATTTTAAAATGATTATAGTGGGTTGGGGATGTGATTTGGAGGAGGGCACTGCCTAGCATGTGTGAGGCCCTGAGTTCAATCCCCAACACTGAAAAAAAATCATAGCTGAGGTTTAAAAAAGAAAAATACAACTGATGGGTGATATCCACTGATCTGCAGCTGAAGAAGCTATTTTTAAATATTTACTGAATAAATAATATTATCAGTTTAAATAAATTTTGTAAGAATAGTAAGACTTCGGTTGCATCATCTATATTTTCTCTTGGACCACAAAAGCCCCAGAGCAACAAAAGCCCCGGACAACTGGTAGCATGACCTGGAACAGTGTCTTGTTCTTGCTTTTCAGGTGACAAAGAATGAACGTCAGGTTATGAAGCCACTGTACGACAGGTACCGGCTGGTCAAACAGATCCTGTCACGGGCTAACACCATTCCTATCATTGTGAGTTTATGCCTCCCTGCCGTTGGTACACGAGCTTTCTGACTGGGCCTTGGCTACACTGACAGGGCCCTAACCTGCGTTCTCACTGAAGACCAGGCCTTGATAGTTTAACCAGCCATTAACATCTGTGGCCCACGTGCACGAGGAAATGAAGACATTATCAAAGACTTTCAAGATTACCTTCGCCAAAAATGAGCAGATGTGAAGCTGATTGAATCTTTTGTCCTTTTAGGAGACATGCTTTGGTCATGTACCTCTATCTGACATGTGCTAGGACAAATCCTTTCCCTCAGAGACAGAGCACGAGGGGACAGGGACTGTGTCTTCTCCAGGTTCTTCACTGCAAAGAGAGCCTCTCTGGTCTCGAGGGCCCTCTGTTGACAGTCTCAGTCGCTCCCCCATCCAAGAGAGGGATAGCACCCTTGGGTGTCAGACCTAAGGAGAATCTTATAAGGAACTTAAGTGATACGCTTCCTTGGAGGCTGTGGGAGTGGAAAGAAAAGGAAAGAGGCATGGTCACCATCCTAGGGCTTAGTTGCATTTGGCCCCTGGATTTGACCTTGTCAAGTGTAGGGATCAGCAACTTGCCTCCAGTTATGGGAAGCCTTTTTGTCACCAGCCAGTCTGCTTCTGTCCCTGAGCCAACCTCAGCATTCCCACCCCTGGCTGGTGGGTGTAATGTTAGTACCCTGTCATCGCTGGGGGGCACTGCCTGATTCAGTGCCCTTGTCCCCTCCGTTGACTATTCTTAATAATCAGTCACAACCTCGCTTTGATGTCACTCTGAGATCCTTATTCATTTCAACTGCTGCTCTTCTCCTCCATCGCCCCCAACCTCCTTGTTCACCACGAGGCCTGGGGTACACTCTTGAAATTTCTTTTAGCAGTGTACTTTTTTTTTTCATGAATGACAGACCTCAGGCAGGTATATTTGAAGAAAGCTACTCTTCTAGAAATTTCCTGCAGAATAAATTAATAAATAAAAGGCTTCAATCTAAATAAGCATTTTCTTTCCCCAGTTTGGAGCCCTTAGGGTCCCTGAAATTGGCTGAATGTTGAGAGAGAAGTTAGATAATGCTGGCATTGCTTTTTTGAGTTTGCATTACTCTCCTTAGGTCATGACCATGAAGTGTTCTTGTACTGAATGTGACTTGAGGAGAGAGGGTGGGGAAGAAGTTTCTTCTAGGAGTTCCCTGAGTGTTTGGTTAACAGTCATGTGCTATTCCTGCTCTACTGTGTCCCCTCTGATTTATGCGTGTGGGCTCTGAAGGGAAGTGACAACTTGGAAAAGAACGTTGGTTTGGGAGCATTTGGCGGGCAGGGGATAGAAAGTAGAGCTTCAAGGCAGTAATGAACACTGTTGTGGTCAGAGGAGGCCGAGAGCTGGAGGGACAGGAGAAGGGCTTCGTAATGTAACCTACTTGTCAACACCTGTCGCAGGGTTCCCCCTCCAGCAAGCGGAGAAGCCCTTTGCTGCAGCCAATTATCGAGGGCGAAACTGCTTCCTTCTTCAAGGAGACTAAGGTGAAGACCCCCAGTGCTGTCCCACGCTCAGTCTGCGTCACTCCCCTGCCCCCTGCTGGAAAGGGGCGTGATTGTGCCCTTGGGTGGTGGCTTCTTTGGCTTCTTGTAGCATTCCCTACAAATCAACAGCTGCACGTACCCACCTCTGAACAACCGCCTTTAATTTATGTCATAGCCTAGCTGATTTCATTTCATGCCCTTCTTTCTTTATCTGTTGTTGCTTGTTTTTACTTTGCTTTCAGGGATTTTGTTTTCCACGGTGTTGTTTTGCTTTGTTTTCGCTGTCTGGGGAATAGATTTTTCTGTATACCAAAATCATATGTTAGATAATTGTATGAATTTTTTTTAAAAATCTCATACTGAATGTATAGAAAAACCAAAATTAACAAACGCTATGTATTTATTGGTACAATTTCATGTACTCCTTGTTTTTCCCTGGTGCATTTATAAAATCGGACCAGTTTTATAAGCCATTCTTCATCTGGGGCTGTGGTGCTATGACAGGCAGTCACTAAAACATGTGCTTTGATTTCTTTCTCCAGAAGCAATTTTGGATGTGTATGGGTAACTCCTTGCCCTTAGTCTTCACTAGAACAGGAGACATAGTCTGTGCCGTGGATCAGTGCGTCCCCATGGGGCTCTTTCGTGTTGTTGTTTCTAGACAACTGAACAAATTGGACTGCCTTCCATAGGACTCCAGGGATAAAAATCAAAGGCAATTTTTTAAAAAATCATGATTGTGTTTTAGCAATTGTTTAGGTCCAATGAAGACATTAAACCCAAAGCAGAAGTGAGTTTTAAGAGTTTCACCTGTCATACTTCTGTTACTCCAAATTGAGGGTGGTCATATATTTATAGTAGTTAGGAATGATTATTCCAGAATAATCTTTCCTACTAAGGATACCAATTTAGAGCCTCGTTTTCTTCCTGAGGTAAGGTACCACAAATATAGCCTTCGCTTTTATTTGCTCTATTCCTTTTCCCACCTCTTAGCGAACTTAAAATACTTCATATGGCTAACTTTAAGCTATTCGGCAATGGCTATATTCAGTATTCATATTATTAAATAAAATTTGTGTCACGAAAATGCTGTAAACATGGTACGAGGAAATCTGGGCCAGAATGCTATATTGTGTCATAAAAATTAGAGCTATTTTCCTACCATAAGCCTGATGTTGATGAAAGACCATTTTGTCTAGCTGGCACTTTTGCACAAGAATGAAACCTCTATAATTGAAATTTGAACAATTGTATGTATGAAAATTAGTGTGTTTCTCTTAGCAGCCTACAAATAGAGTTGTTACTAGATAAAAACGTGTTCTTGAACACATCCAAAATATGACACTAATAGCCTCATTAAAGGAATGGAAGCTACCCTAATACTGCTGCTTGGGTTTTGTATTTTTTTTTTAAAGGACATGTTTCCCATTCTTTCCTTTATTTATTTATTTTTTTTTAACTGAGGGCTTCACACTTGCTAGGCAGGCATAGTTCCTCTAGCCCTTTTTGCTCTAGCTGGATTGTGAGCCTCCTATTTTACAATTTTCACCATCACTAGGATGACAGGTGTGTCACCACCACACCCAACTGTTTTCCATTGAGATGGGGCTCTCATGAACATTTTTGCCTGGGCTGCCCTGGAATCTTGATACTTCTGATCTCAGCCTCCCAAATTGCTAGGACTACGGGTGTGAGTCACCAACACCCGTTTTTTTTTGTTTTTGTTTTTTCCTCACAAGAATACTTTGGCCATGGTTTATTGCCTACTGGCCCACATCATGGTCAGAATTTCAGGTAAGCTTGCAATGATTTTGTAAATAGTGCTGTCTTTCGGTTCATTTTGTTTCAATTGGCCAGATTGATTAGCATGTATTGGACTGTGCTAATTTTTGGCAATTCTGATACAATTTAGAATTTAATGTGTGTGCAGATGATTGAAACTTTAAGTGGGCTGGCAGAGTGGTTCAAGTGGTAGATCACCTGCCTACCAAGAATGAAGTCCTGAGTTCTGATCCCAGTACTGGGGGAAAAAAAAGATTGTTTCTTACGTGGTGGTTTCTTTAAAACCTGTTCCTGGTCGGACTGCGTATGGAAGGACCCAGCTGTGAACGGACTAGAACAGCTCAAATTCTGAGGCATCTGAAGATGTCCCAGGATGTAAGAAGCCTAGTCAATTCTCTGTCCCCTCCAGGAGTCCCCTCTCAAACGTCTCTGGCAGAGGAGACAGTCCTTGCCAAGGGTTCTATCCTCACACTTCAAGCCTTTGGAGTGGTAGGAGGGTGAAGCTGCTGAGTCTCGCAACAACTGAACACTTAGAATTATTCTTCATTATAAAATGTAGTCACAATATTTAATTTCAGGATGTGTAAGTTTGATAAGTGGAAAATAACACAATGAAAAATCACTGCAAATGATCAGTTACTCTGGTCCATTGCATCTGTTCAGAGGCTTGCTTTTGCCCTCTGGTACAATAGGGAACTTGCACACTACTTTTTCCCTGAAAGCCCTTCGCACATTCACAGTGGCCTATCCAGCCCCGCCCCACCTCCGCCGGCCGCCCTGTGGGAATCTCTTTTCCAGGTTCCTGCTGCTCCTGGGCCGTGTCCACTGTCTACTGGCTCTGCTATGCACATGCACACCAGTTTGTCTACCCCCACTTCAACCGATACCCAGAGCTACCTGTCACTTAACCCAGGTAGTGGACCAATTACCAGGCCTTATTTCCACCTGGATGGCTGAGGTCCTTTCTGTGCTCCAAGCCCTTGCCTATGTGACTGTCATCCTTTGCAGAGTTCATGTCCATTTTTCATGGGGAGGGTATCTGAGCCTCACAGTGTTGACATTGGGGCGAGATAACTCTGCTATAGAGTGCTTACAGTGTCCCTAACCTCCACCCACTAGAGGTTCTCCCCCGTCCCCAGTTGTTAACAACCAAAATTGTCTCTAGATGCTACCAGATGTCTCCTAAGGGACAGAATCACCCCACTGAGACCCACTGCTCATGGCCCTGCCTCATTGTTGACTCTCACTTGTGTCATCCCCAGCTGCTTTTTCTGTGGATTGCTTGCCTGCTTTGCTTTTTCCTTACCTAACTGTAGGACCTTGAACTTGTCTAGTTACTTTTTATACTTCTATTCTATCCTTATGAAACAGATTAAATATAGATTCTGCATTCCAGTGTCCCAGGTGGCCCCATCCACTTGCTATTATTGGATACTGATACATTTAGGAAATAGACCTTTTATGTCTTTGGCCAAATGACTGATGAATATTGCGTAAGTCAGGGTCAGGAAAAGAGCTGCTGTAGACTTTTCCCTCCAGGTTCACATCACTGTTGCATTATCACTGCCAAAATTTGGGCAGCCAGCTTTCATTTTTGAGGGTCTGTGATCCTCAAAAGGATCTCGTTCTTTACTGAGATCCAGATACATCAGTCCTATCAAAAAAAAATTTTTAAGTAGTCAGTGTTTCTGAGTTGGTCACTGATTCCTTTCCAACTTCATAGTTACGTAATAAGTCCATCTAGAATCTACTCAATATGGACCACTTGTGGTCTTATTTGAACATCAGTTTTTACTATTTCTTTTTTCCCCCCATGATTTTCAAAGAGTAGTTTTATTAGGTTCATCTCAAAAAACATCAGTATGCTTTAAATGCTCTCAGGACTTTGCGGTATAATTGATAGAACCTTTAATGAAATCTGGTGTCTGTGACTGAAGCCATAGTAATTTCCCTTGCTGTCTGTTTCCAGCTTTCATATTCTCGTGATGGTAATTATTTGTAGTTCTCTTTTAAATCTGAATCTTCCTAGGCCATTTAATCAACACGTATTGAGCATCAGCTATACGCAGTATTGGCCCTGCTCCAGGGATGACAGCAGTGCACAGACAGGCCTCCCTTGAGCCTGTGGTCAGTGGTTCCACCTTGTCTTCCTCCTGCAAGGCAGGGGAGAGGGAGAGGAAAACTGATGCACGCTGCCTGTGTGCCACCTGTGCCTAGACAGGCCCCTGGCGTGCATTACCTCAGTGGATTCTAGAAATTACATAGGTGGGAATTGTGACTCCTCTTACAAAGAAAAATTACTCATTTAAAAAGTCAGGTTTTGTTTGTGATTTTTAATTTTTATGCAATTTAAATTTTAAAATGTCTGAGTGAGACCCTTACTTTATGAGCCAAGCAAAGAGGTCAAAGATCCGAAGGCTCCAGAACTGCTGCCTGGCCCTGGCAAGTCGACCTTCATAACCGTACTTTTATTTCAATGTCATCAGTAGGGGAGAAACCATACGGAATCTGGATAACTGGGTGATTTTTTAAATGATATTTGTAATGAAAGCACACCCCAAATTGTGACCAGATTCTTATTGGGCTTGCTGTGTATCTCCAGGAAGAAGAGGAGGGGTCAGAAGACGACAGCAACGTGAAGCCGGACTTCACAGTCACTCTGAAAACAGACTTCAGTGCACGTTGCTTTCTGGACCAGTTTGAAGATGATGCTGATGGATTTATTTCCCCAATGGACGACAAAATGCCATCGAAATCCAGCCAGGACACAGGGCTTTCAAACCTCCATGCTGCTTCAATGTATGTCATGGGGGGGGGAGTTGAAGTGGTTCAGTGAAAATAACTTCCATAAGCGTCATCTTAGCCTTTTGTATTTAAACTGGCTGACAAAACATGACTTACCTGGAGTATGTCTCTCTGTAAAGAAAACGAATTTTTTAAAATTCTAGCTCAGTTTTCTTTTATGTTTCATCCCATGCTAGTTTGAAGGAGTATTTCAGGTCTTGCTTACCCAACCAGAAGGTCTCTGCAAATGGCACCGTTGGGCTCATCATTTAACACTCACTGAGCACAGATGTCATTTCTTCCTCTCAGAGAAAAATATGACAAAGCACTGTGGCATTTCACAAGGGCTAAAAACTCCTAAGTGCCAGGAGCCCCGGGCTGCCTGTCGGCATGTGTGCTCTCAGGAGAGAAAGCCCTGTTGTATCTGGTGCCCACAGTGGCTTTGCCATTTACTCACGTCACCTGTCCTCACAACTGCTGTTGACTCACATGCACACTATGCACATAATGATTCAGAATTAACTTTAATGTTCTTGAAATGTTTTCCCCCTCTCAGCCCAGAACTCTTGGAACACCTTCAGGAAATGAGAGAAGAGAAGAAAAGGATTCGAAAGAAACTTCGTGATTTTGAAGAGAGTTTTTTCAGACAGAATGGAAGGTATGCGGGTGTAGCTCCTCCCCTCCTTTCCCATTGCCTCACCACACACTCCCAGCCCTCTTTGTTTCTGTCGCATCTGTGGAAATGTCTCCAAAGTGGGACTCTTCTGCATCCTCCTTATACTGGTCCTTGGGTGGTCCCTGGAGGTTGACAGTGAAATGACAAGGTTTCTAGGTACCTCCAAGAGACAGTGCTCTTTGGATAAGGTCCAAAACTGATGCAGATTCAGCTAACATGTAAAACTAACCTGCACATCAAATGTTCATGGAAAACAAGCAGCGTGAGATGAATTCAAGTTGATGGTACCGAGGGTTTTTTCTTAAGAAACTAGAGGGAGAAACAAGGATAAAGGGGTTCTAAATGTCAACTGTTTATTTTTGCAGTACTGGGGCTTGAATTCAGGGCCTACACCTTGAGCCACTCTGCCAACCCTTTTTGTGTTAGGTAGTTTTGAGATAGGGTCTTGTGAACTATTTGCTCAGGCTGGCTTTGAACTGCCATCCTCCTGATCTCTGCCTCCTGAATAACTAGGATTACAGGTATGAGCCACCAGCACCTGGCCTCAACTAATTTTTAAGCTTATTTTAAAGTCAAATATTGGGCTGGGGATGTGGTTTAGCAGTGAACACTTGCCTCCCATGTGTGGAGCCCTGGGTTCAATCCCTAGCACTGCAAAAAAACAAATATTTTTTTAAGTAAAAGTTGCCAAGTTTAAATGAAAAATATTTATGGAAAGCAAATATATGTGAGTATGTCCACCTAGTTGATAAGTTGCCTTTCTTCATGAGGTTTAAGGTATAATTTAATCACCTATATTCAACATTTTGCTGAGAAATAGCTTTCATGGCTACAAGTGATTACACACAGAGTGTCTTACTCAAGTCACAGCAGGGGCCCCGGGACACACCAGATCCGCATCTCTTATATTAGAGCTAGTTTCATCATTTTATATTGATTTTATGTTAATGCAAATTATTTAAACTGCATGATAGTTTGTCTTGAGTACTCTTTTATATGTCTTAAAGTTTGGGGGAAATACTAGTACCATAAATATGAACTTGGACATTTAAAATGTGTTATATTCCAGTTTAGTTCAAATATATAAATTTATTTTTGGAGTCTCTGCTTTGGATCTGCCCTATAATGACTGATAAACTGAAATCTGTCCTCTAATGACTGAATCTGAAAATCCAGATTTTTATATCCCACATTATCGATCAGGCAAGATATGTAGATGTAGCATGGGTGATAATAAGAGTTTATTAAAGGTTAGGGGGTAAAAAGTTACAAAAGGCCATGATGGGCCAGGTGTGAGGCAGAAGCAGAGAGAGAGCTCTTCCTGTATTCAGGAATAGCTGAAACCTGTGCTAAGCTATGGGAGGGGAAAAACCTGGGCAATTCTGTTTTTTTTTGTTTTTTGTTTTTTTTTTTTGGTGGTACTGGGGTCTGAACTCAGGACCTTATGCTTGCTGAGCAGGTGTTCTACCACTTGAGCCACTCTGCCAGCCTCACCAATTAATTATTGGTGGAAGGAGTTTGGGTGATTTCTGGCTAGCATGGTTTGAGCTATCCTGGGCTAAGATACGAAGAATTTGCACATATTTGCAAATGAAAAGAAGGCTCAGTGAGAAAGAGAAAAATGCTCAATCTGAAATGTAATATTAAGTCGTGTATGTTTTAAGAGCCCCATCTTTTTATGCCCTGACTTGCCTCCTGACTCTCTCATGATTTATACATCTTTATACGTAAAGGTATATTTGCTTTTCTGTCCCAGGACACATTACAGGATATTTAGAGAATATAGATAAGCAGATAAAAGAATTAATTTCTCAAATAGTAATACCCAAGGACAAATCAAGATTAATATTTTGGTGTGTTTCCCCTGCCAGTCTTTTTTCTGAGTATATTGGGGTTGTCTCTTATCCTTCACTTTTAATAGTATATTGACACATTCTGTGCACAGTATCCTAAGTGCAAGGAACTACATATTATTCTATAACCTGCACAAGTTGTAAGAAAGTACAAATGATAGAAATTAACTTATCGTCATAGGTCAGAACAGTGAGCAGATCTTATGCTTTCATGAGATCTGGCTCTGTTTCACATCTGAGGACACTGGAGCCCCTGATCAGGCTCTCTGGGGCCTGAGTGACAGAGACTCTGATTTGTAAGCCCCTGTTCCCTGCTTTCTGCTGAGGGGCCGTCTCGAATCCTTTCCTATTCAAGACAGAGTGTGAATAACATTAGTTTAATTTCTTCATTAAACAAATGTAGCCCCATGCTCTCCTCCTTACCCATATTTGTTTTCTAATGAAAAGAAAGAAAAGCCTGGTAGCTGAACGTGTGCCACATGCACTTCACAGGGACAAGTCTAGCAGTACACACAGCACGATGGGGGACAGCAGTCACTTTTCAGAGTACCCGGCTGCCATCCTGGTTTCATTGTGCTTGGGGTGTGGACAATAGCACCTTCCCATCAAGTTGTAAAGGTTGTATTAGATTGTGAATACAATGCTTAACCCATAATAAGCTCTCCATACTGGTGCATATAAGCTTGCATATAAAATTACTTAGTAGACTCTAAAGGCTTGTTAGTATTACGGTCTAACTGCTAAATTCCAGGACCAATTTTATAAGTAGAAATATTCACTATTCTTAAAAACCTGTAATTTGTGGGTATAACAATTGCTGGTTAAAAATTTAATGGTTCAGGCTGGCTGTGGTGGCTCACACCTGTAATCTAGTGACTTGGGAGGCAAAGATTAGGAGATCATTCGAGTCCAGCCTAGGCCAAAAGTTTGAGACCCCAACTCAACCAATAAAAGGTGGGCACAGTGGTACACACCTGTCACCCTAGCTATGGGGGAAGTGCAAATAAGGGGATCAAGGTCTAGGCTGGCCCAGGGATAGACACAAGACCCTATTTGAAAAATAACAAAAAAAAGAGTTGGGGGTGTGGCTCAAGGGGTGATAGAACACTTGTCTAGCAAGAGTGTGGCCCTGTATCACAAGGGAAGGGAAGGGGAAAGAAGAGGAAAAAAATTAATGTTTATTATGTGAAAAATACACAAATGAGAAAGCATCAGGTATGAATAAAGGATTTCGGCTTCTAGGAACTCTTAATAGGGAATCATACTTAACAGTCAAGAGAGAATCTGGGCGTTTCTTGGTTCTTCACTGTATTACACACACAGATGCTGACTAACATATAAAAACATGGCCCCTTCGTGCCTTCAGGGGAAGACTGCCGTTCACTGCTTGTCCAGGCGGGCCTGGGTACCACGTGCCTGACTTTGGTCAACACTGATTCCACAGGTTGACAGACTGCAGTTTCCCCCTGCCAGTTTGCTCAGTGCACATTATCAATCAGGGCAGAAAGGAAATGACCCGTGCTGTCCTTGTTTCCTCAGAAGTGTCCAGAAGGAAGACCGCACCCCAGTGGCTGAAGAGTACAGTGACTACAAGCACATCAAGGCCAAGCTCAGGCTGCTAGAGGTGCTCATCAGCAAGAGAGACACCGACTCCAAGTCCATGTGAGGGCGAGGGGCAGGGGGCTTGCGCCCCTCGGAGAAGAGCTGGTCAGGAAGGCAGCTTTGGAGCGGGACCTGCATGCAGTCCTTCTGCCTCCCCGCCAGTGGGATGGGCTCCCGTTTCCATTGCCTGCCTTAGAAGCTGCCTCGACAGAAGACGACAGTGTGACCTGACTTGGGAATTGTGTAATGGGAGAGTTGAGATTCCTCCACATGTACACGCTAGCAATGTAGTGAGAGCCTCTCACTAACACTAGTGGTGACCAACCACGACATCTACAGAGAACACACACTTCTTCCCCGGTGACTGAGAAACACGAGAACATTCTCTAAATGTGATGATTTTAAAAAAACCCCACAAGCTCAGGACTTTACTCTGAGGAACTAACTCACTGTGGAGGGCTGTGCTCTCCCGGACCCAGTCAAGTGTGACCACGATTGGAGCCCTACTTGCTGCCGTGGCCATTCTAGTGACCTTTCCCCAGAGCTGCACCTGTTCCCACTGGTGTGAAGCGACTTCCCCATTAGCTCTCAGGTGGCTGGAAGCTGCATCTGTCACAATGGCAGTGCAGTCATCTCTTTGAAGGTGTGTTTCTTCAGGACTTCCTCAGCTGACAAAGAATTTCAACCCCTGACCAGGACTTGACCTTGTGCAGAGGACAGAGGGGATCAAATCAGCAGCTATTTGATGCTGATTTAGAGCTTGCAGACAGTTCCTGAACATTGACTGAACTTTCTGCTCTCAGACGTGCACACGAAACACCAAGTGAGCCCACCATGCTTTATCTTGTTGTGTCACTAGCCAGATATAAAGGGTCTTTTGTCCAAGTGTAGAGGATCATGGGAGAGAGGCAGCTTCCTTCCTCCCCTTCCTGAATACTTACCAGAGTTTAATTTTTCTAAAAAAAAAAAAAAAAAAGACAAATCTGCACTAAAATCCCCAAATGGACAGGTAAATGTAGCCCCCAGAGCTCAGCTCAAGGCAGAATCTAAATCACACTATTTTCAAGGTCATGTATAGAAAATTTAAAAAAATTGGTGTGTGGCCAATTTTGATTCTAATTTTTCAAAGACTGTGTCACAAAGCTGTCTATATTAGACAATTTGGAGGGACCAGGGAATTTAAGACACCAAACCATTCATCTCTTCAGTGTGCTTGCTGTCACTTTGTGATTTGTTTTTTTTTTTTTTCACCTTCTGTGTCTGCCTGAAGAAAGCGGGCTCAAGGTCCACCTTTGTGCTTCGTGAGGTAGAGCAGAGGTGTCTGTTCACCCATCCACGTATCACCAGGTATTTCAGGAGACTGTGCCCCTGGGTGACAGTGTTGCAGGTCAGACCAGCAGCAGAGATGCCCTCCTTGTCTTGCAGTTGCTTTCTAATACATTTTTAATACAAAGAAGAAAAGGAAGAGGAATGTCAAACTCTACTGCCAGCCAGTTGTCAATGTTAAGGCCGGGTCAGATTGTTCTCTGTCGCTGAAGTGAGGGGGCTCGCCTCTGTCGGTTAGAAATTCCTCAGTCAGATATGGGGAAAGAATGCCTTTAAGTTTGCTTTTTAAAGTAATCGTAGAGAACCATGAGCTGTGTGTTGGAAGTACCCTGGTTTTAACCACCACACTCAAAGACGGTACATAATCCTACAGATGTAAGTGTACATGAAAATAATAGCTGGATGTACTCTGCCCTACTGTTTACATTGCAGGTGGCTATAATTTCATGGAGTTCTATTATAAATAAAATGATGCACTTTAGGATGTTTTCTATTTTTGAAATCTGAACATGAATCATTCACATGACCAAAAAAATTGTATTTTTTAAAACACACACACGTCTGGTCTGTTCTTTTTAAGTAATTGTTCTCTTAAATAAGCTATGATATAAATCAAATCATTACTGTTTAACTTTTAAAGCACATCTGTTTAAAGAGCATTGTTTTGAAAAAAAGAATATATATATATATATATATATATATATATATATATATACACACTATAGAATTTTTTTCAATGCTACATATAAGCTACTAGATGTTTTGAAATCTGTTGTTTCTGCCAAAGGTAAATTACCTAAAAGATTTATTCAGGAATCCCCATTTAAATTTGTATGATTCAATAAAAGAAAACGCCAAGTTACAGTAAACTAAATTGTGTACGGGATGTTATGTTTTCCTTTGTAATTTCTAATGCGTGTTCCCTCAGCATGGAGCCCAGATGAAGGGGAGCCATGTTTACACCAGATCCTTTTTGAAAGCATGTTAGTGGTTTCTGGCTCTGCCAGAAATGGCCAGGCAAATTGGTTTCCACAGCAACCGTTTCTGCAGCCTGGCATCTCCAGGCACTGGAGGCAGTGTCTTAATTGGCTTCACACAGACAGAATGCTCTAGACTGGGATTTTTTCCTTTGCTGTCTTGGGAATGTGTGTTTATCAGCACATGCCAACAAAATAAATGTCAGTGGTTATTTAATAACAATGGTAAGTAAAGGTAAAGCATGAATAAACTTGATTATGTGCTCATAAGAATTAGTGATAGCCAAGGCTTGCAGTTTTCATAAGCACTTGCTTTTATTGTGTTTGGTCTGGAGTAAACATTGAAATAGATGTTTATATTAAGTATGGTGTCACTAATGAATTTCACCTTAGAATCATTTAGTTTGGATTTTGCTTTCTAAGCCATGGAGATATAATGTTTAGGATAAAGCCAGCTCAATCTCAGTGATCTCCAAACTCAGGGAAAATTTCCATGAAAGACCAAATCAGATTCCAAACTGGAGAATTTCTTTCTTTTGTAAGTTGCTAGTAAGCCTGCATCGTGAACTATTAGATTTCTTCTCCTTGCTTGCCAGTTTGAAGTCAAAAGATTAGTATTCATTGTCAAGGGAGGGATCAGCTATGTCTCTGTAAGAGCAGCATAATTTTCTCTTTGTCTCATTCTGATGCAACACTTGCATGGTCAGGGAAGAGCCTCTTGCAGGGTGTGTCTGCTCCCAGGTGTTACATTGCTAGCCCAGGACAAATGCCTCTGGGCTGAACTTGTATGGTAAGTACTGTAATAAGATGTCCTGAGGCCAGCAGTTGGGAACCCCTGAGGGATGGCTGAGTGGTTGTGAATGTGGCAGGACTTGGAATTCCTTATAAGGTTAATACTTGGGTTTATCATCAGAATAAAGGAATGGCCATGAAGATGGTTCTGTCAAGGAGAGAGAGCTGTCTGGTTTTCAAGAGAGAAAACTGGGCCCAGCAGCCAGAACCGGTCACAGGTTTACAAGGAGAATCACATTTTAAAGTATTAATTTCCAAAAGCTATTTTAAATCTGATAATGAAGATGCCATGTTTTTGCTTTTGATGGTATATTTATAGTTGAATGCCATAAACTATTAACTGCTCCATAACCTAAATGCTGTTTGCTTTCAAGACAGTTCTCCCTGACACTGCTTCTTGGATTCTTGTCTTCCAAGTGGGGAGAGGTGGTTGCTGTGCCAAAGCCAATGCCCTATCATGTTCTTTTGCAGTGTCCTCTTGGTGGAAGCAGTAGGGAGGGACAAAACTACACCCTAAATATTGAAGCAGCATTTTCCCTAAAGCCCTAATGCATGTGGTGGAACCCAGAATGCGCTTGCCTCTCCTTCATTCAGTTTCATGTTTTTGCCCATTTGGCCCTCAAAATGTACTACAGAGAGCACTGTGTCAAAAAAATTCAACATATTTTCAAATTGTTACATATTCATGTGCACACCGGAACTCCTATATATGGCTCTAAGCAGAAGTAGTGTACACAGTTTGGCATTGCACAGTGGCACTGGCTACTTGCCCCAGTAGGCTGACTGGGACCCCAGGCATCTGCACTCATCTACCTTGATTCTTCAGAGAAGATGCCTTTATAGACAGAGCTCAAAACAACATGCACACATGTGCATGTAAAATAAGTATCAATGTTCACAGCTTCATACTCCTCTTAGGAAGTAGCATTTATGTCTCATTTTATCTAGAAGAGGGTCAGTCATGTGTGTGACTCAAGAAACCTTCAATAGCAGATCTAATTCTCCATCTGAAAGCACCTAGGAGTTGTGAAAAATCTCCAGGAATGAATAAACTTTCACTAAGTAATGTGGCCCAGAACAATGTTTACATATAACATGTAAGCAGAAAGCCTTTGAAATTACCAATGTCCTTTTTCAAAATGTAAATTGAATGAAAATCATTATGTACATTTTTGTACATGGCTATATTTTATATAAAGAGAATAAAATATTTTTAATTGTGGAAGTTCTGCAGTTTGTGTCAGGATCGTGTGACTGAACTGCTTGTGGGGACTGCTCAGGAGGCAGAGATGAGAGGATCCTGGTTCTAGACCAATCTGGGCAAAGTTAGGTTGAGACCCTATCTGAAAAACAAACTTAAAAAGAAAGCAAAAGAACTGGGTGCGGCTCAAGTGGTAGAGCACTTGCCTAGCAAGCTCAAAGCCCTGAATTCAATCTCCTGTACCACAAAAAAGGAAAAAGATATGTATCAGAGTTATCCCTAAACTGGGTCAGCTTGCCAACACTGTATATACACAGTAGAATTTCAGATTCAGTCAAAGTCAAGTCCAAATTCCCAAACGCAGTTTTCGAATCCTGGCTGGCAGACAGACAAGTGGGGTTTGGCAGGAAGCAGGGTTGCTGACAGCTTGGTTCTCACTTCTCTCCAGCAACAAGGCTTACAGCAGAGTGGCTCCTCATTGTGCTACAGCTTTCCTGAGGAACATGGCCCAGTGCAAAGCACAGCAGGAACCCAGCCTCTGAGACCGCTCAGATCCCCAGTTGGGACTACGTGTGTACAAATTATGTTACTATGAATTCTGAAATTCACCATTTTTTAGATGCTTCAATTTTTCTCAAGACATTGTGAAGAACTGATTTTTCTGAAACTGTTACTTCCAAATGTTAAAATTACTGTACCAGATCAGACAAAGGGAGAGAGGGAAGTGATCACAGGACAAAGCAGTGCTACTCGCACTGTGAATGTCTGGGATCTTGGGATATGGTAGCTGCAGAGGGCCTTGCATCATTATCTTTCTGCCATGCTGCTAGTCCAGAGCCTCACCTTAAGGAGGTGTGCAGACCGCATCATGGGGAGTTGTGGAAGTGAGCAGCTCCACCCATTAACCCAACATCCTGAGTTAACAAGAGACCAGCACAGCTGCCAACACCCAGAGTCTGCCTGAAGCTTGAGGGCACACTGCGAATAAAGATTCTTCCTATCATGGAGTCCAGCAACACATTTTGCATCTTTTCAAAAAAGAATTGTGTTTCCCAGTATCATCTCCCTCCATCACCTTTTGGTTCCTTGTCTGTGGAAGTCAGAAACAGAGCACGCCTCTAGCACATAGTAAGCACAAGTTGGTGTTATGAGGATGAACCATATCTCATGGGAACATTAACCTATTCTCTTAGGCAAAAGATAAGTGTGACTTTTGCTGTTCTCAAACAAATCACCTCGCAAACTGTGTGCCGCTTTCTCAGAAGGATTAGTGCTTGCTAAATTCCTTCCCTCACAGGGCAAGGCAAACCCTCTAAGTCTACTTCACCCCAACACATTTTGGGAGGTCCAAATCTGCTCAGACATGTAAGAACAACTGAGATGGAAGCTGAGATCAATGTGGAAATGCCTGAGTTTTGTGGAGTAAAGGAACAGAATAACCTTTAGATTGAGTTCTGGGTCACTTGCATGTCCCAAAATTTCTGTCTTGGGGTGTATTTTTAAAACCTAAAATCTAAATATGCCTTTGGGAAGGGAGCTGCTCCGATTTTTGGCAAGCTTCTAACGATCACACTAGGATTTCATCAAAAGCCATTGGCCGAGGCTGAGACTAGGAAAGTATCTGGGGTCTTCCAACCCCACGTCCATCTGTAGGAGGCACAAACTGCCAGTGCCATTGCTCAGGCCAGCTTTCAGATTCAAATTGAATGAGGCTTGTCCCTACCCTATTACCTCAGAAATTTAGAAGCTCCAGCTCTCCTCTTCAGTGTGCCAGTGACTTGAACTTGAACTTGGTTCACAAACATCTGAGCTCCTGAGAATGCTCGGGCATGAAAGGTCAAGAGAATCATTTTTAAAAACACCAGAAGGTTAGGCCATGGCAGGCCAGCCCTACAGGGACTGTGATCCAGTACCTACTTGGCACTGGTTGTTAACTTTCTCGCTCAAGGGCACTGGTCTCTGAAGACCCAGGAGGGAATAGGGATATTTTAGAACTTGTTCTTTGATTTCTTTTTCTCCTAATCCTCAGAAAAAGTGACCATGAAAGACTGGTCTGGTTTAATGTTTGTGTGTGTGTGTGTGTGTGTGTGTGTGTGTGTGTGTGTGTGTGTGTGTACTTTAATTCTTGTTTCTCAGGAAGTTCTTCCCCAGCAAGAACTGAATCAATAATTATCATAAATTGTACCTAACTCCCATGGGATTAAGCTCAGGAAAATCAGCTTTTAAAAGATCTGAAAACCATGTGACTGTGCATCCTGCCAAGCATCCAGCCACTCTGTGCAGGGGGAAAAAAAGCTGACATCTGAACTCATTTTCTTGGTGCTACAGATAACTAAGGAATGTATACTCCATTATTTTGGAAGGAAATAAAGCACCAAAACCTGAACTGGCTAGTCCATGGGAGAGGCTGTTATTAATACAGAACCAAGGAGTCTGCCCTCACTGGGGTAGGTACCTCTTCCAGCACCTATTCTGTGTCCTGGTCCAGTGTAAAGGGCACAACGTTAAATCCATACCAGGTTGGGTGTGGACAGCAGCCCCTACCTGCACTGTAGGCTCAGTACTCAAACAGAGATTTGGGCCATACCTCCACATGGCCCTGCTCTCATGAGGTTCATTATCCTTCTTTTCCAAGAACTGGAATTAGAAAGGCACACTTATAAATTCTGCATTACTTTCATCTGGAGAAATCCCTTGGTCCACTCAATAGAACTTCCTTCCTTTCTAAAGGCAGGAGGACTGGCTCTCCTCTTCCCCTTCCTTACCATGAGCTCCTGCTCTGTTATGTGACCTGTTGTAGGTGGAGCCACCTATGGCTCCTATCACTGCTCCATCAAGACATCTCAAAAAACAGGAGACATTCATAAACCAGAAGTCTCATCATCAAGCAGCCTGTGCTATTAACAAAGTGAAAGATATTAAAGGTGACACGGGTATTGTGTTCTTAGACATTTTAGAGACTTGGCTGGTATAAAATTTGCTTGGTTTCATCTTGAGAGCCATACTTAACCCATACTTTCTTAATAAAAAAAGCTTCATAAAAGGAAATGATGAAATTCTGCAGATCAACTTTGATTTTCTTTTTTCTCCTATGCGTGTGTTAATACAAAATTTGTTGGGTATCACCTCAGGTCTGTTTTACTATTCTCTAATGTCCCCTTCTTTAACTCACTTTTCTCCCTGTTATCTGGTTAACTATTTGACTATTCTAAACTACAGTTTGGAGAGAAATTAAGAGATACTAAGCTCCCTTCACATACATACCCACCCCACAAAAAAACTGCCAAAAATAGGGAGTTCCATGGAAAACTAAGTTCGGTAAATGCTAAATGCTCTATTCCCCCTCTTTGAGATTTACAAAGTTGTCTAAGAAGTCTTGCAATAAAGTTTAACTTTAACCCATAGATGGCCAAACTTATGTAAATGTAAACCTCCTCTTTATGGGAATAAAAGGTGTTTTCCCATGGGAAATGCTGCCTTTTGCCAGCCACTGTGACCTGAAGATCAGTAATTCTTGTTACTGAGAATGGAGCTGCTTGCCAAGGCAGAGTCTACCTGGGGGCTAATGGTCTCACAGCGCCCATGGACTGGCCTGATAAGCTGCCTGTTGTAAGAGGACCTTCCCCTTACCCTGGGTCAATGCCATCCATACACATCATGGCTGCCTGGGAAGGTGGAGATGGCACAGAATACCTGCTCTCCAGCTATTATCAGAGGCAAAGCCTGAAATCCCAGAACTTAACTCTTGAGCTAAATACAATGGGAAAGCCTGGATCAGACTTTCCATCAGTGGAAAGCTGGTTGAAAACCCAAATAAAGTGGAGTTGATAGTGACTTCCAGTATTGGCTCCTTAGTTTTAATAAGTGCACCACAGTGATATAAGAAAGTCACTAACCTTAGGGGAAAGTGAATGAAGGATGTAAGAACTCAGTATTATCTTTACACTTTTCTATAAATCTAGATTGAAAAATAAAAATGCGGTTTTCTTACCTGTGTGGTAGAAAAGCCCAAACTCTGAGGTTTCTTAACCTCTCTATTCCAGTCCCCATTTCAAATAGGAAAAAATATGACACAGAGCTCAAGAAACCCATTCAGGGCCACAGAGCTAGAAAATGGCAGAGCTAGAAGGGTTATGGTGGTTAAACTGGATAATACAAAGTACTTCTGTGCAGGATCAATCAATTTGGTCTACCATTACAGTCAGATTCTTAGTATCCATTTCTATGAGTTAATCTTAAAATGAGATTTGTTTACTCCTTTGGAAGAAAAGTCAAAATTCTTGGTTTTTTCTGGTTCAACATGAAACTATGATTCAAATTCCAAAGGCTTTGTGAAGGTTATCCATAGTTATTGTGATTCCTACAAATCTGATTTTTTTTTCTACAAAGTAGTAGAAATTAATTAATACAATTAATACATTGGGCTTGGCGAGAGCACACAAGGGTGGGGTGAGGATAGGTAAGACACCTAAAAAAACTAGCTAGCATTTGTTGCCCTTAACGCAGAGAAACTAAAGCAGATACCTTAAAGCAACTGAGGCCAATAGGAAAAGGGGACCAGGAACTAGAGAAAAGGTTAGATCAAAAAGAATTAACCTAGAAGGTAACACCCACACACAGGAAATCAATGTGAGTCAATGCCCTGTATAGCTATCCTTATCTCAACCAGCAAAACCCCTTGTTCCTTCCTATTATTGCTTATACTCTCTCTACAACAAAATTAGAGATAAGGGCAAAATAGTTTCTGCTGGGTATTGAGGGGGGGAGCGGGAGGGGGCGGAGTGGGTGGTAAGGGAGGGGGTGGGGGCAGGGGGGAGAAATGAACCAAGCCTTGTATGCACATATGAATAATAAAAGAAAAATGAAAAAAAAAAAAAAAAAAAAATACATTGGGCTTGGTAAGTGATACAGTCTGTCACGTACCCTTCTTTTTAACATTTCCAGTCCTTTTAAAAATGTTAAATCATTTTTGCTCAAGGGCTGTAATTTCCTAGCACTGTTTCCAGGATTAATAAGGACCATATAAATCATCTCAAGGTTTTCACAAGGAATGTGCAGAACGAATGCCTAGTTACATTTTCACTGGCAATTTCATTTTGTAAGTAGGGTTCAAAGAATTTCACTATTGTGGTAAGTGACTGAAACAGTGACGCTTCATTCCAAGATTTGCAGGGAGGATGGCAAATCCAGAATTTGCTGTCTAAAGCATTAAGTGATGAAGGAGAAAAAGAGGAAAATATCCCAGAAAAATCACAGAGTTCTGGAAGCAGCACAGAATTTCATTCATGTAAGGAATATTTAGAAATGTTTATTGGGTGTCTCCATGTTGTCACTGTCCTTGATAATAGGATTATAGAACTTCAAAGCTCAAAGGGACTTTAGAAATTATTTGGCCCAGTTTCCTTATTTTGTGGGTAAGGATTCTGAAGCCTCAAAGTTACTTAAAATAACTCAGCTCTTCTGTTCAAAATGAAGTATCATGGGGGTTTTCTGTCCCTCAAACATATACGTAATGCAGGTTATTAAATGTTCTTTGAATGGACATTTTTACTGGAAAGCTATTAAACCTAGTGAAACAACATCATACTTATTTTACAAATTTATTAAAAATACTTTTTTGCAGAGCTACCAGCTTCCAGGCTCCACTGCGCTTCTCTAGTTATAGCCTTTCCTTTCTAATAAATCCCACTTCATATAAAAAAAAAAAAAAAACTTTTTTGCTGAGCTTCACACACCAATGGCACATGTCAGTGGGCTAATTACCATCAACCATTACATGAATAACTAATTGATTCATCTTCAGTTTTTCCTCCTCCTTTTTTCTCCTATTCATTTGCTCTTTTCCTTTTTTTTGGGGGGGGGAGTGGGGGAGAGGGAGTTGGTTTTTTTGAGACATGGTCTTGCTGTGTAGCCCAAGCTGGCCTTAAACTCAGGCTCCTCCTGCTTCTGCCTCCCAGGGCTGGGATGACCAGTGTGCCTACTGCTCTGAGCTGTAGTCTTTCTGTTTCTGTCCAACCCATTCCAATTCCACCAAAGTTATACCATCCATAAAAATTTCCTTCTTAAAACTGGGCTTAGGTTATACCACCCCAAGGTTCCAAATTCTTAAACAAATCTACATGGCTATCCACTAAAATTCTAATGCCAAACCTAGTTCTTTGGGTCAAAATCCATCTTCTTCCTCCCCCATCCTATTTGCCATTAATCTACTGCCTTGGATACTCCCTTTGAACTGTTCCAGACCCTTCCCTAAATAAGCTCCCACGTTTAAACCTTTACTAGGTCCGGTCCCTCTCTGGGAAATGCCTTTCACCCATCACAGGCTACAGAAGGCCCATGCTTCCCTCATGCCATCTGTTCCTGCCCCTGCTCTCCTCTCAATTTCTATAGCACCTGGTTCCACCTCTTATGGCAAGAACCAAATTAGGCATATGACCTAATGCTTCTCACTAAAAGCAAGATGTCCATCTGCAAATACAGTAAGAAATGGTTTTAAGTTAAAACACCAAATTTATTGCATAATATTGAACTATATGCACACACATAGAAAATAAACATTTCATATAACTGTATATCTTTTTTAAATCTTGTATTTATAAAGACTGAAAAACCACCAATTTAGCAATTGGAGTTAGTTTTAAAAACAAAAAGAAAAATTCTATAATCCTTCATCAAGACTTGATGCTATATCACAGTTCATAAATATTTCATATAAATAAGTCTTTCTTCTAGTTACTAGGAATTTAAAATTAGGCTTACATAAGTTCTTTGATCATGTAGAATTTTCCTATTCCATGATGAGTGAGGTTGAGCATGTCATTTTTGAGATACATGTATTTGACTTAAACACTATCCCCCCCATCCCCACTGTAAACAAGCATTTCAAATGTGATAAACAAAAATTCCATCATAAACAAGGTCCTTAAGTCTTAACAATGAGAGAAGAGGGAAAAAGTCTAAGTAGAAATTTTGTAATTTAAAAAAAAAAACCACAGCATGCATCCACTAGAAGGAGAAAAGGAAGGAAGAACCAAGTGAAATAACAGAACAGGATGACGTAAAGAAGAGAGGGAGTGAAGCATGGTAGAAAGAAGGGAGGAAAAGAGAAAGTGGTAGAAGACGTAATGGAGAAAGGACAAGAGATGTATTATTTCTACTTTCCTTGGCCAATATACTCTACAAAAATTAATGCAACTTGCTCCAACAGCGAGAGAACTGGAGTTGTAGGTACTCTATCAAATCATCATATTGTAAAAGGGGTATGGCTGAGCAATTAAACAAAATCAGGCTCAGCCGCAACTCTAACATGCTCTGCATATCTTAAGGAGGCTATTCCTTCAAGGAATTTTTTTTAAAAGCAGATTGTGTTCATAAAGGCTCCCGAAATTCTTAGGAGCTCCAACAAAGTAATGGCCCCAAACTCAGCTTTTTGGAATCGGGAGTTTCTGAAGAGTCCTTTCTTCCTTTGGGTCAGAGGAGTGCTGCAACAAGCCAGATCTTGCCAAAGCTGCAGAGAAAGGAGATGGTCTGCATGCGCAGGTAAGAGGGACGGATCAGTCTGGATCATTCTTGGAGAGGAATGAGAAGTTAGGAGGATAGAAGGTATTGTGAGGAAAGATCGAGACAGAGTATTTGGGAAATCAAAGTTTAAAAATCTACTGCCATTCCACCTAGCAGAGTGCAACACATTCACAGGTGCAAGGAACACTGGGTAGCTTGGTTAAAACAAAATCAAAACCACCTCCCCTACCAGAGCCAATTGTTCATCCCATCCCCAAACTCTGATTTTTCAAAAAGACTGTTCACTACTTACAATCCCAGAAACACATCAATCAGGTTCAGGATTCAAAAGTCCCAACCTACTCAGACAATAAAAAAATAGAAATCACTCCCCATGATATTCTGTATAGGCCTCAATGAGGACACTGAGGAAGGCAGGGGAGTCTAGGACAAGCTGGGGAGCCTCAGGCCAAACTAAAGCCCTCATAGTTGTCAAGGGCCTGGGTCAGCCGTGCCCTCAGAATCTCTTTGCTGCTGTACTTGGGGAGGTCAAGAAGGTTGTAGCAAGTGTGGGCCACAGGCAAATACTCCTCCCCGCTGGCTGTGGACTGGATGACAATCTGCAGGCTGGCCATACCATAGATGGGGATCCGGTCGCTGCCTGTCAGAAACACTACAGAGAGATAAAAGTGGCATTAACAGCTATGCAAACCGGGAGCTGTTCTCAAAGGTCTCCAGGCAGCACAGAGGAAGGCATGACACCCTGTGGCTCTCATGGGAAATACAATCATGTTTACCTACCAATCCATATTCAACAGAATGATGGATGCTCAGAAATGCTCTCAAATAAAAAATGTATGCCCTCAGAAACATTACAAGCTTTCACAAAATCGAAGTGGGATGGAATTACTGCCACAGACAAATGGAACCGTCCATAAAGAAACCAGGAAGAAGCCCAAGTCCCTGAGACCTGAGGCCTCCCCCACCTCAATGCTGGAGGCCTGTGCCACCTGGCCACTGAGTTTCCACTTAGGATCTACTGGCTTTGCTTTCCCTGTCTCCCTCTTTCACAAAAACTGCAAGATTTGATCCATGCATTATATTAGGCATTTCACTCTTCTGACATGTACTGTGACTTGTCATATTCTTAAAAGACTACAAACATAACATAGTCCAAACAACTTCATTTCATAAATGTAATACTTAACAAAATCACTTTTATTTAAACTATTTTCATTTTTATTTTGGTGTGAGATAGAGTGTCACTATGCTGCCTCAAACTCCTAGGCAAAAATGATCCTCCTGTCTTAGCCTCACGAGTAGACAGGACTATAGGCATGTACCACCACACCTGGTAAAATAACTATTACTTTTAGAGCAATTAAAAATCAGTGGAATGCTTCTTTCCTTCCTTTTACCTTCCTGTTGAGCAACAGATACAATAGTTGAGCAATAGGTCTACAACCTATTTTGTGCCTAAAATATCATTAAGACAGAAAACATAAATTAGTCTTTATCAGTTAAAAGTGTTAAATCTTACCTATGGAGTATATCATCCTACACCATATGTTAAGAATAAAACATGGACAAATACTATATGGAGATTACTAATACTTACAGAGAAACTTCTTCTTCTTCTCCAGTGGAAACTCATGAAATGTTTCCCAGAATAGTTTCACGGTGGGATGTGTGGCTGAGTAATCACCCTTGTAGGTGGCAGTCTGTCCGAAAAAGAAAATGTATTACAGAATAAAATTATTATTATAGTGGGCATTATATACCATTTGCATTTGAGACTAAGAAATAACTGCTGGGGGTTGAACCCAGGGCCTTGCACATGCTAGGAAAGCTTGTAGCTAGGCAGCTTGAAGCTCTCAGCTATATCCTCAACTCTTGCTTTTCTGAGACAGGGTTTCCCTACAAAGCTCATGCTAGCTTTGAACTTACTATGTAGCCCAAGCTGGGCTTGAAGTCACAATCCTCCTGCCTTAGCCTCCCCTGTGCTGGAACTACAGATGTTTCCACCACACTCAGCTAAAGACAGAATGTTCTGAGCTTACCTCTTCTAGCTCTCTCCAGTTGTAGTTGCTGTTCCCCACCATCATGGCCCTGAGCTCCGAAGGCTGGAAGAGCTCCAGTACTTTGCCACCACACACCTTTAGGAAGCCACTGGAGAAGGCGCTAAACCATTCGTGAACGGAGATTTGGAAGACATAGTTCACATAAGCATCCACAAATTCCTGCCTGCCAAGGAGAACCAGAGAGAATGCGCTTAACTCAAAGTCCAGGAGAACTTATGACACTGCCCTTCCACACGGAGGCCGAGTGAGAGAAACGGAATCTCACCAGGCTCTCATGCAGGTGGCAGGCTAAGGCGTCACTTAGGTTACCAGCTCTCCACATTCCTCCTCCACTCCTAGCCCTTGGATTCTACGAGCACTCAGGTGATCTGGGGCAGGGGAGACCTGAGGTCTCCAGTTTTCATTTCATTTAAGGTCCTATTACAATTTAGCTTAGGAAAAAAAAAAAACCTTTTCTGCTTAAATGAAAGAAGTCTAAGATAATGATTCTAGGCCACGTCCCCTATCTTCTTAAATAAAGCCAACCACCTGATGTCTGTACACTCACACATCTTAAAACATCATTACCCTTGTAGGTGGAAGTCTATCTAAATAAGACCCAAAGAAAACATGTATCTTACAGAATAAGAAAAATATTAAACCATTTGCATTTGAAACCAAGAAATAACTACTGAGACTCAAGAGACCTTCAAATTCTAATCTCGCTCCTCCAAATCTTACAGTATATTTTGGACAAGACCATAACTTTTAATTCTATCATTACATTCTGTTCTGTTTTGTTAAGACAAGGTCTCACTGTCTCAAGCTGGCCTCAAACTCGCAACCCTTCTGCCTCAGCCTCCCAAGTGTTGCCACCTCACCAGCTTATAACTCCTTTTATATCACTCCTAAAATTACCTCTGAAAAGAAATGTCTCAAATAATGGCTGTATCTTACTAATAATCAAGCAAACACAGATGATAACAATAGTGAGTTATCAGTGTACCCACAACACTGGCAGAAAAGTCAGATAATATCAGTGGGGAAAAAGAACCTCACACATTACTAGTGGGAAGATAAATCTACAAAATGATGGGAACCACACATCACTTCCACAGAAACAAAGGACGATCAACCAAATGAGAAAAGCAATAGCAGGCAGAGGCATGGGAATGCTATAGCAGAAAAAGACGAGGCTTCAGGTATGCCTGAATGGGAGGTCACTGGCAGGGGGCAGCTGTCGAGTGGCTAACTAGAAGTGGGGAATCTTAAGGGACTGGCAAGGGATACACACTTGGCTTTCTTTCGTTGGTGCTAGGTCGGAGGTAAGGACAAAAATTAGGAGAGCTGTTAATTATTAAAAATCCTGCCCATTCTAAGTGAACTGTCACAGAAGTTATGGAAAAAGCAAGGATGCCTTCTATAAGCCTGACTTGCAGCAGGCTGGCTTCCTGGGCTACTTGTAGATAAAACTCTGGTTTCCTTGGTGAGTTGCTGCAGACTGGAAATTAGAACCCAGAACTCTTATTTTTGTATAGGGGCAGGCCATTGGTCATGTGTACATTCAGTCTCTCACTAGTGGAAATATACACTGTGAATTGAGACATAAGCCTTTGAGGGGAAATTTTGCCAATTATCTAGAAAAGTTGAGAGTGTAAAATTCCCTTGCCACAGCCACTCTTCTAGCAGGTGGGGTGGTCCAGAAAGACTCTCACTTGAGTGCACAGAAAGAGCGCAGGCACGCTCACTGCAGCTTTTGCTTATAATATGGAGAATTTAGAGAAGCAAAACTGAAATTCATTAATATGAGAATGGCTGGAGAAGAGGTGGCTTTGTTATAGACAGAAATCATAAAGCAGAGCACTTTAATTAGATCTGTATTCAGCAAAATGAATTGAACCTCAAAAATGCTAAGTGAAAACAAGTTTTTGAGTGTTAGGTAAAATATGACATTATTCATGTAAGTTTTTTTTTAATTTCCAAAACACTGTTACCTATGAAAGGCAAGAGTACTGCCACTTACAGCCATGACCCTGGGCAAGTTACTTAATCTCCTTTACCTCAGTCTTCTCATCTGTAAAATGAGGGTAACAGAACATAACTCATGGCATTGCTGTCAAGATTAAATTAGTTAATACATGTAAAGGTACTTAGAACCAAGGCTGGAGTATAACAATTACTTTCTGGTAGCTACTGATATCATATTGTTTATAGACAGAAGATTTGTTTGTAAGTATGAAATTATATATATGATGTATGTATGTGATAAGTAAACATTTATTTTTTAAGATGAAAACATTAATGTTAAAAGTTCTTTGTCCCAGTACATCTATTTATCACAAAAGTATAAAAACATGAAAGAATACACATCAAATTGACAGTAAGAACTGTATGTGTGTCAGAAGGAAGAGCGGGAAGTGGGGAATGGATGCAGGAGATGCACAGAGAGAACTTCAGAGATGTCACTAAGTTTTTCTTTCAAAAAAATCTGAAACAAACATCTGTTTACCCTGGATCACAGATAGAAATAAGATTGTCATGTTATTCTTTGTACTTTTTGAGGTTTGGGGATTTTGGGTTTTTTGGCAGTACTAAGGGTTGAACTCAGGGCCTCACACTTGCTAGGCATGCTCTCTACACTTGAGTCATGCCACTAGCCCTTTCTGCTACGAGTATTTTTGAGATAAGGTCTTCGCTTTATGTCCAGATCACCTGGGCCAAATTCCTCCTATTTATTCTTCCCCTTGTAGCTGGGATGACAGGAGCAGGTCACCATGCCCAGCCATTGGTTGAGACAGGGTCTCATGAATTTTTTGCTTGGGCTGGCCTCAAACTGCCATCCTTCCAATTTCCACCTCCCAAGATGCTAGGATTACAGGCTTGAACCACAGTGCCTAGCTATGTTCTTTATTTTAAAATTTTTAAATGGTCTAACATCATGATGATGATGCTTTCTACTTATCAATCACAGCTATAAAATATTTCCTAAAAATATGATTTGCATTCTTGGGCTTCCTCCAAGACACCACTTTTTCCATGGTCACCATCTATACCAATAACTAACAAATGAGGCAATGCAGTGGATAAGCAGGGCAAATGGGTTCACATCCAGGTTCTGCCATGTTCTGGATCTAACTGCTAAGCCTCTATTTTCTCATTTTAAAAAAGGAGTAAGTGTTTAATTTTTAAAACAAAGCCACTGTTACGGTTTAGATATGAAGTCCTTCAGAAGTCTCGTATGTTGAAGGTTTGGGTCCCCAGCTGGTGGTGTTATTTTGGGAGGTGCTGAAAACTACAGGAAACAGGAGTCTAGCTAGAGGAAGTAGGTCACTGGGGACAGGTCCTTCGGTATATCTTATCTTTGGCTCCTTCCTGTCTATCTCTCTACTTCCTGTCCATCATGATGTAAGTAGTCTCTGCTTCACAACAGATCCAAGGGCTAGGGACTAAAACCTCTGAAATTGTGATCTAAAATACATACTCCTACCTTAAGTTGTTTATGTTGGGTATCTTGCCACAGCAACACAAAAGTCTAATAGAGCCTCTGATGTGAAAAGATTATTGTGCATTTTCATCATAGATGCCAAAAGTTTCTCACACTAGCATATACTGTGCTACTTTCCTGAAATCCATTATACAAGAGAGCAATATTTTTTTCCTGGCACAATTTTCCAAAAGAATCACCTTCAAAATTTAAAAAAAGAAAAAGGAAAAAGAAAAAAAATTAAAAAGGAAGCATCTCCAAAAATCTAGATGTCACTAGGAAGGTATTTTAAGATGGCGTTACCATTCAATAGACCTTGAGTAAACTGATCAGCCTCCATAACATGGGTGGGCCTCATCCAATTAGGTGAAGACCATAAAAGGCAAGGGCTGAGGTCTTACAAAGAGGGAGGAATTCTCCCTCTAGACTAACTTTGGACTCAAGACTACAATATCCACTCCTGCCAGAATCTTCAGCTCAACAGCCTACCCTGCAGATCTCCAACTTGTCAGACCCCATAACCATGTGAACCAATTCCTAAAAATGAATCACTGTCTTTGTCTATTATTTATGCAGATGGACCCTGATCTATGGTGTTCCAACTGTGTAATGATGCAAAGCAACGTATGTTCAGTAGAAACCATACTTCCTGAGAGATTCAAGATGGCTGCTTAGAAATGCCCAGCACTACCTCCTCCTCCACAAAGAACCAAAGTCACAGGTGCACAACTGCACTGTGAGGTGAGTGACCATGGCAGAAAACTGGAAATCATCAAGAGAGACTAGAACCCTTAACATCCAGAGACCTGGGACAACAACATAAAAGAGGAACAAAACACCCCACAAGGGCAACCCCAACTACACAGCTGAGGGAGAAGTCTCACTCAGGTGAAGGCCACAGTCCCAGCAAATTCGATGCAGATGTCAGAGGTCCTGGCTCCTTGTCAGAATCTCACAATCCTCACAGGCCTGCAGCCTTTGGGAAAGGCCCTCACCTCATCTCCCAGCAAGCCCCAGAGCACGGTAGCCAGGAGCCAACTCAAGAACTGAGCTGTCGATGGGCACCACTGGCTCAACACCTGTAATCTTAGCTACTCCAGAGGCAGAGCTCAAGAAGATCACAGTTTGAAGCCCATCCAGGCAAACAGTTCACAAGACCCTATCTGAAAAACAGCCAACACACACACGGGCTAGTGAAGTGGCTTATGTGGTAGAGCACCACCCACCTATCAAGTGTGAAGCTCTGAGTTAAAAAACCAAGTACTGAAAAAAAAAAAAAAAAAAAAAGAAGTGAGCTGTCATTTGACTTGAGACTGCTCTACAGGTCACAAACCCCTGCAAAGTGCCATCTCTGGGACTCTACAGACTTTCATTGCACTAGCTTAGGATTAGCTGCCTTGTGAACCTATCATGGCCCAGAATAGTGACTGTGACCTGTGCAAAGACAGTTCAACATACTCAAATCAATAAATGTAACACATCATAGAAACAGAATGAAAGTTTAAAAAATCATGATCCAAGCCAGGTGTAGTGGTGTACACTTGTAATCCTAGCACTCCAGAAGATAAGGCAGGAGGATCTCAAGTTCAAAATCAGCCTGGGTTACATACTAAGGCCCTGCCTCAAAATAATAAACCACAATAAGATCTCTCAATAGATGCAGAAAAAAAGCATTTGATAAAATTCAACATCCTTTCATG